CTGCCAATCTGCGGTCAAGAACGCCGATGCTGCCCTTCAGTCCCTTCACTTTTTGGCCCTGACTGAGACATGGATCACCCCAGAGAACACTGCTACTCCACCTGCTATTTCTTCATCTGACTTAGTTTTCTCTCATAGTCCAAGAGCATCTGGTTGTTGCAGTGGTGGCACAGGTCTACTCATTTCTCCTAAGTGGAGATGTTCTCTTTTCTCCCTCTCTCATTTGAATTCCATGCTGTCACTGTCACTTGTCCACTCAAGCTTAACATTATTGTCATCTATCGCCCACCAGGTGTCCATGGAGAGTTCCTCAATAAGCTTGACACCTTGATAAGATAATTTCCTGCCAATGGCTCACCGCTCTTTGTACTTGGCAACTTCAACCTCCCGACGTCTGCCTTCGATTCAATTCTTTCGAACTTCTCTCTTTCCCATCCTTGCCTCTTTTGACCTCACCCTTTCCCAATCCCCTCCAACTCACAAAGCAGGCAATACGCTTGACCTTATCTTTACAACTGACTGCTCACCTACTAATCTCACTGCAAGCCCCCAGGTCTCTGATCACTACTTTGTTTACTTTTCTGTCTCCCTTTCCTCCAACCCTAACAATCTTCACTCTCTCGCCCACTACTCTCTCCTCTTCTATCTTATCATCTCTCCTTTCTGCTAAATTATTCTCTCTCCTGTCTCCTGATTCTGCCTCTTCGACCCTACTCTCCTCCCTTTTCCGCATTCCTATGACTCGCACTATCCCCTTTCCTCCCGGCCGGCTCAGACCTCACCTCCTGCTCCGTGGTCATTCACTGCGAGCTTACAGAACGGGCTGCGGGCAGCTGAGCAAAAATGGAGGAAAACTAAACTTCCGGAGGACCTATCAATCTTTCACTCCCCCCTCTCTACCTTCTCTTCCTCTGTATCCGCTGCTAAAGCCACTTTCTACCACTCTACATTTCTAACTTCTGCCTCTAACCCCAGGAAACTATTTTACACCTTCTCCTCACTTCTTAATCCTCCACCCCCTTTCCCTCCCTCCTCCCTCTCTGCAGACGACTGTCAAACACTTTAAAAAGAAGGTTAATGACATCCGCTACTCATTCACTCAGCCTATTGAGTCCACTGGTCACACTCTCACAGAACTACCCTACGCCTTGACCTCATTCTCCCCTCTCTCTCCAGATGAAATCCTGCAACTAGTGATGTACAGCCGCCCGACAACCTGCCCGCTCAACCCCATCCCCTCCGCCCTTCTCCAGACTATCTCTGGAGACCTTCTCCCATTCCTCACTTCCCTCATCAACTCATCCCTGACCACTGGCTGCGTCCCCTCTGACTTCAAAATGGCCCGAGTCGCTCCCCTCCTCAAGAAACCAACACTCGACTTATCTGACGTCAAAAACTATAGATCTGTATCCCTTCTTTCTTTTCTTTCCAAAACACTTGAGCGTGCTGTCTCTGATCAACTTTCTCATTATCTCTCTCAGAACAATCTTCTTGACCCTAACTAGTCAGGCTTCAAGATGGGTCACTCATCCGAGACTGCTCTTCTCTGTGTCTCGGAGGTTCTCCACACTGCCAAAGCTGACTCTCTCTCCTCTGTTCTCGTCCTCCTAGATCTATCCGCTGCCTTCGACACCATGAACCATCAGATCCTCCTCTCCACCCTCTCAGGGCTGGGCGTTTTAGGCTCTGCACTCTCTTGCATTGCATCCTACCTGGCAGGCCGCTCCTACTAAATGATGTGGAGAGGATCTGTGTCTGCACCATTTACTCTCACTACTGGTGTCCCCCAGGGCTCAGTTCTAGGCCCTCTCCTCTTCTCTCTATACACCAAGTCACTCGGCTCCATCATATCCTCACACGGTCTCTCCTATCCTTGCTATACGGATGGCACTCAACTACTTTTCTCCTTCCCCCTTTCTGACACCCAAGTGGAGAAAATCTCAACTTGGATGTCGGCCCACCACCTCAAGCTCAACCTCGACAAGACGGAGCTGCTCTTCCTCCCAGGGGAAAGCCTGCCCACTCAAAGACCTCTCCATCATGGTTAACAACTCCACAGTGTCAACCCTCCAAAAGTGCATAGAACCTTGGTGTGACCTTGGACAACACCCTGTCGTTCTCTGCAAACATCAAAGCAGTGACTCACTCCTGCAGGTTCATGCTCTACAACATCCGTAGAGTACGACCCAACCTCATACAGGAAGCGGCGCAGGTCCTATCCCAGACACTTGTCCTCTCCCGTTTGGACTACTGCAACTCGCTGTTGGCTGGGCTCCCCGCTTGTGCCATCAAACCCCTGCAACTTATCCAGAACGCTGCAGCCCGCTATGCTTACACCCCAACCCGAGCACTCCGTTCTGCCACCTCAGGGCTCTTGGCCCTCTCACCCCTACGGGAGGGCAGCTCCCACTCAGCCCAGTCCAAGCTCTTCTCTGTCCTGGCACCCCAATGGTGGAACCAGCTTCCCCTTGAAGCTACGACAGCAGAGTCCCTGCCCATCTTCTGAAAACATCTGAAACCCAACCTCTTCAAACAGTATCTTATATAATCATTCTCCTCACCTCGACCCCCCCCCCCCCTCTTTTTAGCTCTGACTCTACTGATAGCTACTTAATTGAGGAAAAATGTACTTTCTATACCTGTGATATGTGGTTGTCATCTTAAGATACTGTAAGTCGCTCTGGATAAGAGCATCTGCTAAATGACTAAAATGTCAAATGTAAATCTTCGCCCCAGTCTAAGGTTGTTTGCAGCGGGTGAATGGGCAAGACAAAATATTTGCCTTTGAATGGGGTATGGTAGTACGTACCAGGCGCACCGGTTTGAGTGTGTCAAGAATTGCAACGCTGCTCAATAGTTTCCCATGTGTATCAAGAATGGTCCACCACCCAAAGGACATCCAGCCAACTTGACATAACTGTGGGAAGCATTGGAGACAACATGGGCCAGCATCCCTGTGGAATGCTTTCGACACCTTGTAGAGTCCATGCCCAACTAATTACGGCTGTTCTGAGGCTAAAAGGGCTTTAACTCAATATTAGGAAGGTGTTCCTAATGTTTTGTACACTCAGTGTAGTTGCTCAGTGTAAAAGAAAGAAAAGATGTGGAGGGGAAAAGTGTGGAGGGGAACATGATTACGGCGACTGTGGGAACAATGTGAAGGCTAAGTGTTGTAATTGTTGTGGGGAACACAGTGCAGCATTTGGTGGATGCCAGGTGCAGAGAGAGGCTGGAGAGGCCCAGAGATATAGAATCAATCACGATGTCTCATATGCAGAGGCTGTAAGACAGATTGGTGGCACTACTAGGTGGACTGATGGAGCTACCATGGCTGCTCCCATAGTAAGTGGACCTACTGTCAGAACTGGTGCTTCTACTAGTCCTGACATGGTTTCGAGGTCTGTTCAGAAATCTTGCTGTGTCAAAGGACACTTTGATAGTAAATAAAATTGACTTCATAGCTTTCATTGGAAAGGTTATCAACGGATTGTAGAAATGCCAGGTTGACTATTATTGTGGATACGGCAACAGAGTTAATAGGGGCAACAGATGTTACTGTCGACATGATTTTTAAAATGCTGAATAATCATAAGGATGGATTGTCTCAGCATGTTAGAGATAAAGTTTGAAGAGGTTGGATGGGGTTTGGGAGGGTTTTAGGGAGGGGGTAGGTTTGTTAGAAGTTAGTAGGGATTTATTTGTTAATTTATAGTATTTTTTTCTTAGTAGTACAGAATTAGGCAAACCATGAGTGATCACACACTCCAGCACTGTAGGTGGCGGCATGCACCTTAAATGGTTGTTTGCGGACCGCCATTATTCCATAAAAGAAGAAGAACAGAACTGATCTTAGACCAGCTAATGGATTAATATCAAGGTGGACAAGGAGGTTAATTTGGGAGATCCATTTGTACTATCAAGGACTGTGAAGAGAGCAGTGGGAAAGGTGGATTCAATCAAGGTGACTAGAAGCGGCCTTGTTTTGGTTAATTGTGTAGATGAAGAACAGAAGAAGTGTGCACTGGATATGGCAAAATTGCCCACGTCGGAAGTAACCTGTATTGATCTTCGGAGCGTTGCACCTGCCAAAGGAGTTATGTCTGGAATGTCGTTAGATCTAGATGACGAGTACCTTATTCAGAAAATCCCAGGAGTGATCAGTGCATGTCACCTGACCAGTATGGTAAATGGAAAGAAGGAGAAATCCTATCGATACTATTGTTGGTTGAGGAGACTACCTGCACATGTGAAGCTTGGATATGTGAGGTATGCGGTGAGAGCATTTGTGTCCAAACAACTACAGTGTGGGAATTGCAAAAGATATGGCCACGTGTCAAATGTTTGCAGATGGAAGAAGTATGTTTTTGAATAAACTGTGAATGGAAAATGTTGCAACTGTGGTGGGGATCATACTCCGGACTTCCTTGAGTGCCCTGTTAGGGTTAAAGAGGTCAAGGTGTCAAGGATCAGGGCTATACAGCAGATCTCCTATGTGGAGGCGGTAAAGAGAGTCAAAGGGTCAAGAGGCCACAGTGCTGAAGAAGATATGGTGGTGCATACACCGTGATCTGGATACACTCATTGTGAAGAAGGTAGATTTTGTAGCATTTATTGGCACAGTTATCAATTGTACTGCACAAGTGTCCAAGAAGCTGGGCATCACTATATCTGCAGCCGATACGTTTTTGGGGCTCCAAGACTTAATGGTAGAAGCACTGCAAAGACTACTGTCGCCAGAAAATGTCCCGCCCTCACAGGATCCTTCTGAGCCTGTGTAGGGATCTGATTAGAATTTTGGATTTTAACAGAAAAGCAGGTTGATTTTGTTTAGTTAAAACGTATTTTGATGGTTTGTATGAATATTTTTTACCCTCCATTATTTGTTTCTTTTTGGGATCTTTATCATACACCCGAACAGTAGGTGGCAGAATGCACATCCAAATGTTGCGAACGCCATTATACCAGAGAAGAAGAGGGTAGCTTTGTCGTCACATCCAGTTTCTGAAAACTGTCTCTAGAACATTAGTCTTTGAGTACGGTATGTTCGAGTGTTTTCCTTCTGTGGGTACGACACTTCATATAAAGCTACAGACATTGGAATGACAGCGCATAGCAAACGATTTGGGAATGTGGTGCTTGCAGTTGCCTGGTCTCAATGACCATCTACAATTTACACCCTCCGCGCAAGTCTGGTCATCGACATTTTGCTAATACAAGGAAAACATTTCAGACCTCTCGTGCGTGGCAACGTTTGCCACCATTGCATTGGCTAGCAACAGGTAAGCTGAATCCATTTGCGGCACACAAGGCAGGGAATGTGCACATTTAGCTATTTAGGCAGCTAGTGTAGGTTAACTGTGCTAGTTAGCGATATACCTTACCTGTGAATATCTGTCTTGATTAACAGCCAGTTAGCATGCAGGCACTGCCTTGCTGCATGCTGATAGCTGAACTAGCTAGCTAGCTACTCTGTCAGAGAAGATTCCAGTTTATCTCACCTGCAATGAAATAATTTAGCAGGTAGCTGAACCTGGACTTATAATCGTGAAAACAAGACACAACTGATACGTCAGTGTCATTTTAACTGGCGTCTATCACACGTGAGATAAGAACCTGACTACGCTGCAGTGAAGATTATGTTCCAGGCCTTTCTAGGGGATACTAAGTACGTTGTTAGAGAATAACCGCACACCTCCAGCGTTGTGAGAAGGCTGTTTATATTAATATAGTCATATACAACACTATATAAACGTCACACATTCATATAAGTAAACAATAAGACATCATCGCTCATAAATATTCCCCATCAGATCATAAAATAGTGATTTAAACATTCCTCATCAGTAAAGGGTGGGGCATTTATTCTTCTGCGGAAGTAGTCTACTAAATGCGGGCTGTTACAGAAGTGAGTGAATTATAGGATTAGTAGGGTATTAATCAACCCCAGGTTAAAAATGGAGGTATCCTCACTGTCGCTGATTTGAAGGGTTAATTTAGTAGACTGCACAGGATGATATCGCAGTCAGTCACACAAACACCATACTCTGGAATGCTGTTCTGTGGTCATTCAATCTGTTGTGTAATGTGACAGTATTTACAAGACTATTTCAGTCTGTTCCGGTGCTTTCCATCACAGATTCCCCAGTCACAGATGGCCAAGTGTACACAACTTGATATCAGGACTTCCTTGCCACAACATACAGTGCTATGAAAAAGTATTTGTCCCCTTTCAAATGTTCTCTACTTTTGCATATTTGTGATACTGAATGTTATCATATCTTCAACCAAAACCTAATATTAGATAAAGGGAACATAAGTGAACAAATAACACAACAATTACATATTTATTTCATAAACAAAGTTATGCAACACCCAATTCCCCTGTGTGAAAAAGTAATTGCCCCCCTTACACTCAATAACTGGTTGTGGCACCTTTAGCTGCAATAACTCCAATCAAATGCTTCCTGTAGTTGTTGATCAGTCTCTCACGTCGCTGTAGACCACTCTTCCATGCAGAACTGCTTTAACTCAGTGACGTGTGGGTTTTCAAGCATGAACTGCTCATTTCAAGTCCTGCCGCAACATCTCAATTGGGATTAGGTCTGGACTTTGACTAGGCCATTTCAAAACTTCCAATTTGTTGCTTTTTAGCAATTTTCATGTAGACTTGATTGTGTGTTTTGGATCATTGTCTTGCTGCATGACCCAGCTGCGCTTCAACTTCAGCTCACAGACGGATGGTCTGACATTCTCCTGTAGAATTCTCTGATACAGAGCAGAGTTCTGTTCTTCCTTCTATTAAGGCAAGTCGTCCAGGTCCTGAGGCAGCAAAGCATCCCCAAACCATCACACCACCACCACCATGCTTGACCTTTGGTATGATGTTCTTACTGTGGAATGCAGAGTTTGGTTTTCGCCAGGCATAATGGGACCCATCTCGTCCAAAAAGTTGACTCAAGTTTGCCAAAAAGCACCTGGATGATCATCAAGACTCTTGGAAGAACGTTCTATGGACAGATGATTCAAAAGTATAACTTTTTGGACGACATGGTTCCAGGATGCTTTGCTGCCTCAGGACCTGGATGACTTGCCTTAATAGAAGGAACCATGAATTCTGCTCTGTATCAGAGAATTCTACAGGAGAATGTCAGACCATCCGTCTGTGAGCTGAAGCTGAAGCGCAGCTGGGTCATGCAGCAAGACAATAATCCAAAACACACAATCAAGTCTACCTGAAAATAGCTAAAAAGCAACAAATTGGAAGTTTTGGAATGGCCAGACCTAATCCCAATTGAGATGTTGTGGCAGGACTTGAAACGAGCAGTTTATGCTTGAAAACCCACACGTCACTGAGTTAAAGCAGTTCCTCATGGAAGAGTGGGCCAAAATTCCTCCACAGTGACATGAGACTGATCAACAACTACAGGAAGCATTTGGTTGGAGTCAGTGCAGCTAAAGGTGGCACAAACAGTTATTGAGTGTAAGGGGGCAATTACTTTTTCACACAGGGGAATTGGGTGTTGCATAACTTTGTTTATGAAATAAAAGGCAAATACTTTTTCATAGCACTGTAGGCATTTTTGGATGCTGACAATTTTGTGGTCAGTAACAGACCTCATCATGTGATTTCCTAGATGTCTCCTCTTATTTGACTCTTAAATATTTGTATCATCCTTTCACAGGGACTGTGATCCTGTTGACCTGGTCCACACCAGGAGTGGGGCCAGAGGGGGGCATTGGCAATGCTGTGTTGGGGAAATGCTTCCTTCGGTCAGCTAGGCTTGGGCGGGATCGATGAGGAGATTGTGGTGGAGCCCCGGAAATGTGATTTCTTTCACGGGAAGGAGGTGTGCGATATAGGATGTGGCCGACGGCACACCACATTTCTACTGGGAGACGGGACTGTGTACACCTGTGGCTGCAATGACATTGGGCAGCTGGGGCACGAGAAGTCTCGGAAGAAACCAGGTAAGTGTTACATTATCCCCTTACGCTAATTAACCCATTATGGTTAGACTTTGTCTAATGGTACATGGATGTATTAAAATGTATCATGCTTTGTGTTTCCCTTAGAGCAGGTTGTGGCACTAGATGCACAGAACATTGTGGCTGTGTCATGTGGGGAGGCCCATACACTCGCGCTGAATGACAAAGGACAAGTGTTTGCATGGGGCTTGGCCACAGATGGACAGCTGGGCCTTACGAACTTCGAAGAATGTGTACGTGTGCCCAGGTGAATAAAATAATACTTCAAGTCCTCAGGAAGTTAAAACATAATACTGTTCATAAATGATATGCAGACAGCTCAACGTGTATGAACATGACCCCATTTGTACCGATACACTAGGGCAGGGTTTCCCAAACTCGGTCACTAATTAGTAAGGAACTCCCCTCACCTGGTGTCTAGGTCTTAATTAAAAGGAAAAACCAAAAACCTGCCCTTGTGGAATGAGTTTGACACCTCTACTTTAGGGCGAGAGCTGTGCTTGGTTCTTCTCTGAAGAAACGAATTAAACATTCAAAGCAGCATGCAGGCAAAGCATGTTTTGCCAAATGGCATCACAACGTTCATATTTACACCATCTGTTGTCTATGTTGTGAATTTTGCATTAATGTGGTATTTCAAGAATTTGATCTGTGAAGTGCCTAACATTTGATTTGACAACAGCATAACGTTTACTTTACTTGAATGGACTGTTTTTTTTTTTTTTCCCCCTCAGAAACATCAAGAGTTTATCAGATGTACAAATTGCTCAGATAGCCTGTGGATATCGGCACTCCCATGCTCTGTCTAGAGGTAAGGGGTGCATTCAAATAGTCATTTTAAGGCAAAGGGAATTTCCTAATGCCTTTGGTGACTTGGAAGGTTTTGATGGGTAATCTGAGGGCTACCGATCTCGTCTTTGAGCAGTCCCAGACGTCCCGATATTTTCAAACGTTTCATTTTATCGGCACAAAATCTGCAATACTCTTGCAGTGTGAGATGTGCAACGACATGTTTTGATGATCAGCAATAGCCAATGAGAGCTCGCCAGAGAAGAAGCCAGTGAGATGACGTTGTTTTGCATCACCCAGAATGTGTAGACTCTCGAGCAGGAGTGATGACTAGGCCTTCTACTAGTATGCGTTTGTGCTTGCCAAAGTGTCAAATCGTTACAGCTCTGACGTTCACAAGCAATGTTATTCAATTCAAAATGTTGGCAAGATACAGTATTTCAACTCTGTATGGCAAGGGTGAATGTCTGACTGAAACCGTTTGAGGCTGCTTTGAGCTACAGCTCGTTATAGCTACGTAAAATTGAATCGCATTGTTTTTGCGAGACAGCGTGGTATCGAGAATCCTCACGACCAAGTGAAGAATCTTGTAGTGTCTGTGCCACATCGTTTAGTGTGAGCAACACTACAGGAAATATTGTGGTTTAATGTGAGATGCTCAGTGATTTTATGATTTTGAAGGTAGTGTACACCCGGCTTTAGTGACTTTCCCTCCTTACCTTGAACTCTGTGACGTTTTCAAACGAGGTCAAGGTAAAGTCACTAGGAAAGGAAAAAGGCTACATCTCAGAAACAATCCAAATGCACCCAAGGACTTCAAACACAACTAACTTGAATTGCCCCCTGGGGATAATAGACTAATCCAGATTATGCATTCGCTTTCTGTCTGATTTTATTTTACTTAAAACAAACAGGGAATTTGCAGAACGATTTGCTTAATTTGGTTTCCCATCTTATATTAAATACTACGAATGTGGTCCCTTGTTTAGGAGGCCAAGTCTATTCATGGGGACAAAACCGATACGGACAACTAGGGCTGGGAGTAGCTGGACAAGGCATCGCTACTCCCCAAGTCATCCAGTCTTTACAGGGGATTCCCTTCGCCCAGATCTCAGCAGGGGGTGCTCACAGCTTTGCCCTCACCCTCTCAGGGGCCGTCTTTGGCTGGGGGCGCAACAAGTTTGGGCAACTGGGCCTCAATGACAACAATGGTAAGACTGACTAAGCAACGTTCCTGTGAATCACCATTAATCTGTTTTGAAAAAAGCCAGAAGAACCTTTTCAAATTAAATTGATTAAACAAAGTAATCTTTCAGATCGATATTATCCAGCCCTGCTCAAGTCCCTTAGGTCACAGAGGGTTATCTACATCTGCTGTGGGGAGGACCACACTGCCGCACTTACAAAGGTAACTTCCTCTTTCACAGTGACTCTAATTGAGGTAATAGCTGTATGTAGTAGTATACTCTAAGTATAACTATACTTACAGTGCCTTCAGAAAGTATGCATACCCCTTGACTTATTCCACATTTTGTTATAGCCTGAATTCAAAATGGATTATGTAGTTTTTTTCTCTCACCCATCTAGACAATACCCCATAATGACAAAGTGAAAACATGTTTTTATAAAGTTTTGCACATTTATTGAAAATGAAATACAGAAATATTTAATTTACATACAGTACCAGTCAAAGGTTTGGACACACCTACTCATTCAAGGGTTTTTCTTTATGTTGACTATTTTCTACATTGTAGAATAATAGTGAAGACATCAAAACTATGAAATTACACATATGGAATCATGTAGTAACCAAAAAAGTGTTAAACAAATCAAAATATATTTTAGATTTGAGATTCTTCAAAGTAGCCACCTTTTGCCTTGATGACAGCTTTGCACACTTTTGGCATTCTCTCAACCAGCTTCATGAGGTAGTCACCTGGAATGCATTTCAGTTAACAGGCGTGCCTTCTTAAAAGTTAATTTGTGAAATTTTATTTTATTTTTGCTGCAATTTCTGAGGCTGGTAACTCTAATGAACTGATCCTCTGCAGCAGAGGTAATTCTGGGTTTTCCTCTACTGTGGCGGTCCTCATGAGAGCCAGTTTCATCATAGCGCTTGATGGTTTTTGCGAATGCACTTGAAGAAACTTTCAAAGTTCTTGACATTTTCCACATTGACTGACTTTCAAGTCTTAAAGTAATGATGGACTGTCGTTTCTCTTTGCTTATTTGAGCTGTTCATGACATAATATGGACTCAGTCTTTTACCAAATAGGTCTATCTTCTGTATACCACCCCTACCTTGTCACAACACAACTGATTGGCTCAAACGCATTAAGAAGGAAAGAAATTCCACAAATTAACTTTTAAGCAGGCACACCTGTTAACTGAAATGCGTTCCAGGTGACTACCTCATGAAGCTGGTTGAGAGAATGCCAAGAGTGTGCAAAGCTGTCATCAAGTAAAAGGGTGGCTACTTTGAAGAATCTGAAATATAAAATGTGTTTTGATTTGTTTAACACTTTTTTGGTTACTACATGATTCCATATTGTTTTGACGTCTTCACTATTATTCTACATCGTAGAAAATAGTAAAAATAAAAACCCTGGAATGAGTAGGTGTGTCCAAACTTTTGACTGGTACTGTATGTATTCACACCCCTTTGCTATGACACTCCAAATTGAGCTCATGATTTAGAAAGAAACACACAGTTGACAGTGCATGTCAGAGCAGAAACTTTACCATGAAGTCCAAGGAACTGTCCGTAGATATCCGAGATAGAATTGTGATGAGGCATACACTGAGTGTACAAAACATTAGGAATACCTTCCTAATATTGAGTTGCACCCTCTTTTGCCCTCAGAAAAGCCTCAATTCATCAGGGCATGGACTTCACAAGGTGTCACGTGTTCCACAGGGATGCTGGCCCATGTTGACTCCAATGCTTCCCACAGTTGTGTCAAGTTGGCCGGATGGCCTTTGGGTGGTGGACCATTCTTGATACACATGGGAAACTGTTGAGCGTGAAAAACCCAGCAGCGTTGCCGTTCTTGACAACACTCAAACCAGTGCGCCTGGCACCTACTACTATACGCCGTTCAAAGACACTTCAATCTTTTGTCTTGCCCATTCAACCGCTGAATGACACACATACACAATCCATTTCTCAATTGTCTCGAGGGTTAAACATCTTTCTTTAACCTGTCTCCTCCCCTTCATCTCTGATTTAAGTGGATTAACAAGTGACATAAATAAGGGATCGTAGCTTTCACCTGGTCAGTCTGTCATGGAATGAGCAGGTGTTCCAAATATCTGGGGAAGGGTATAAAACCATTTCTAGAGTGTTTAAAGTTTCCAAGAGCACACTGGTCTCCATCATTGGGAAATGGAAAAAATATGGAACTACCCAGACTCTCTCTAGATGTGACCAAGAACCCAATGACAACTCTGACAGAACTACAGAGTTCGTTGGCTGGGATGGGATAACCTGCCAGAAGAATCTACAGCACTTCACCAATCTGAGCTTAATGAGAGAGTGGCCTGATGGAAGCCACTCCTTAGAAAAAGGCACATGACAGCATGCCTGTAGTTTGCAAAAAGGCACGTGAAAGACAGAGAGCGTAAGGCAAAATATTCTGTGGTCTGATGAGACAAAAATGTAACTCTTTGGCCTGAATGCAAAGCGCTATGTCTGGAGAAACCCAGGAACAGCTCATCACCCGTCTAACACCATCCCTACCATGAAGCATGGGGGTAGCAGCATCATGCTATGAGGATGCTTTTCAGCGGCAGGGACTGGGAGACTGGAAGGATAGAGGGAACAATGAATGGAGCCAAATACAGGCAAATCCTTGATGAGAACCTGCTTCAGAGTGCAAATGACCTTTGACTAGGGCAAAGATTATGTTCCAACAGGACAATGACCCCAAGCATACAGCCAAAGCAACGCTGGAATGGCTTTAGAACAAGAATGTCCCTGAGTTGCCCAGCCAAAGCCCAGACTTGAATCCCATTCAATCTGTGGAAAGACTTGAAGATTGCTGTTCACTGACACTCCCTATCTAACTTAACAGAGCTTGAGAAAATCTTCATGGAAGAAAATTCCCAAATCCAGATGTGCAAAGCTGATACAGACACATCCAAGACGACTCAAACCTGTAATCGCCGCCAAAGGTGCTTTTACAAAGTGTTGACTTGGGTGTGAATACTTATGTAAATGATATATATTTCTGTATTTAATTTTCAATTACTTGGCAAAAAGGTCTAAAAACATGTTTTCACTTTGTCGTTATGGGGTATTGTGTGTAGATGGGTGAGAGAAAAACAATTAAATCAATTTAGAATTCAGGCTGAAACACAACAAAGTGGAATAAGTAGAGGGGTATGAATACTTTCTGAAGGCACTGTACATTGTTATTTAATCTATACTGAACAAAGATATAAACACAACATGCAACAATTTCAAAGATTTTACTGAGTTACAGATCATATAAGGAAATCAGTCAATTGAAATAAATTCAATAGGCCCTAATCTATGGATTTCACATGACTGGGAATACAGATATGCATCTGTTGGTCATAGATACACTATCTATACAAAAGGATGTGGATACCCCTTCAAATTAGTGAATTCAGCTATTTCAGCCACACCCGTTGCTAACAGGTGTATAAAATCGAGCACACAGCCATGCAATCTCCATAGACAAACATTGGCATTAGAATGACCTTACTGAAGAGCTCAGTGACTTTCAACATGGCACCGTCATAGGATGCCACCTTTCCAACAAGTCAGTTCGTCAAATTTCTGCCCTGCTAGAGCTGCCCCGGTCAACTGTAAGTGCTGTTATTGTGAAGTGGAAACGTCTAGGAGCAACAACAGCTCAGCCGTGAAGTGGTAGGCCATACAAGCTCACAGAACGGGACCGCGAGTGCTGAAGCGCGTAGCGCTTAAAAATCATCTGTCCTCGTTTGCAACACTCGCTACGGAGTTCCAAACTGCCTCTGGAAGCAATGTCAGCACAATAACTGTTCGTCGGGAGCTTCATGAAATGGGTTTCCATGGCCGAGCAGCCACACACAAGCCTAAGATCACCATGCGCAATGCCAAGCGTCGGCTGGAATGGTGTAAAGCTCAGCGCCATTGGACTGTGGAGCAGTGAGCCTTTTCTGGAGTGATGAATCACGCTTCACCATCTGGCAGTCCGAGGGACGAATCTGGGTTTGGTGGATGCCAGGAGAACGCTACCTGCCCGAATGCATAGTGCCAACTGTAAAGTTTGGTGAAGGAGGAAGGCCTAATCGTCTAACGTCAGTGCCCGACCTCACTAATGCTCTTGTGGCTGAATGGAAGCAAGTCCCTGCAGCAATGTTCCAACATCTAGTGGAAAGCCTTACCAGAAGAGTGGAGGCTGTTATAGCAGCAAAGGGGGGACCAACTCCATATTAATGCCCATGATTTTGGAATGAGATGTTCGACCAGCAAGTGTCCACATACTTTTTGTCATGTAGTGTACCTTAAAAAAAGGTAGGGCCGTGGATCAGAAAACCAGTCAGTATCTGGTATGACCACCATTTGCCTCATGCAGTGCGACCCATCTCCTTCTCATAGAGTTGATCAGGCTGTTGATTGTGGCATGTGAAATGTTGTCTCACTCCTCTTCAATGGCTGTGCGAAGTTGCTGGATGTTGGCGGGAACTGGAACACTGTCGTACACGTCAATCCAGAGCATCCCAAACATGCTCAATGTATGAGTATGCAGGCCATGGAAGAACTGGGACATTTTCAGCTTCCAGGAATTGTGTACAGATCCTTGTGACATGGGGCAGTGCATTATCATGCTGAAACATGATGTGATGGTGGCGGATGAATGGCACGACAATGGGCCTCAGGATCTCTTCACGGTATCTCTGTGCATTCAAATTGCCATAGATAAAATGTAATTGTGTTCGTTGTCCGTAGCATATGCCTGCCCATACCATAACCCCACCGCCAGCACAGTACACTCTGTTCACAACGTTGACATCAGCAAACCGCTCACCCACATGACGCCATACATGTGGTCTGCTGTTGTGTGGCTGGTTAGACGTACTGCCAAATTCTCTAAAACAATGTTGGAGGCAGCTTATTGTGGAGAAATTAACATTAAATGCTCTGGGATCAGCTCTGGTGGACATTCCTGCAGTCAGCATGCCAACTGCACGCTCCTTCAATTTGTGTTGTGTGACAACTGCACATTTCAGAGTGGCCTTTTATTGTCCCCAGCACAAGGTGCATGTGTGTAATGATCATGCTGTTTAATCAGCTTCTTGATATGCCACACCTGTCAGGTGGATGGATTATCTTGGCAAAGGAGAAATGCTCACTGACAGGGACGTAAACAAATGTGTGCGCAAAATGTTAAAAGTGTTTTTTGTGCATATTGGAAAATTTCTGGGATCTTTTAATTCAGCTCATGAAACATAGGACCAACACTTTACATGTTGCGTTTGTATTTTTGTTTAGTATACGTTCTGAAACCCCTTTCACCTCTAAGATTTTGTTTTGTTTCTTTCGTAGGAAGGAGGTGTGTTTACATTTGGAGCAGGAGGGTATGGCCAGCTTGGACATAACACTACAAACCATGAGATCAACCCCAGGAAGGTGTTTGAGCTCATGGGAAATGTAGTCACACAGATATCCTGTGGAAGGTACAGCACACTGTCTGCTGCGCAATCTCTGCTTTCAAATGTGGCACTGGTCTGTTTTAGAATACACAAAGCAGATTCACCTTCAAGTCTATAGTCTCCAGAATTATTTTGAAAATCATGTGTAGCTTGAGGAAAATACATGTATCTGAAACCCACAGTGTCAGGGGGAGACAAGTATTTGGGCTGACATTTCAAAGTTCCTAAAACACTTAACATCATTGAAAACAGTATCTTGAGACGCTTGAGAAACATTTGTTATATTTTGTATATCCTTTCAAGACAGCACACTTTGGCCTTCATCCCCGCCTCTGGAAAGATGGATTCATTTGGGCTTGGAGGGAACGGGCAGCTCGGTACACGCTCCACATCCAACAGGAACAGCCCTGCCCCAGTCAAAGGCCCCTGGGTGGCCTACAACGGCCCCTGGCCCACAAACACAGGTTACTACAGCCCCCCTCAGACAGGTTCCACAGGTAAACTCAAATTTCTGCATCATCTTTGATTAGCAAGACTGACCATAACTTTATATTCCAGACATGGAGCAGGGCTGCTGTGTTAAGAGGATCTATGCTGGAGGAGACCAGAGCTTTGCCCACTATCACACTCCCCAGGTAATTTTCACACCCCATCAGCCCTAATTTATCGGAGTCCTCATAACTAAGATTCTGGGCTAACAAATGTTCAATTGATATTTATTTTTCATGAGAGAAATTAATACCTGAAGTGTTACCTATCCTATTTGGGGATTTTGGTGATACAGTTGTAAACATGTCAGGAAAAAGACTAACTTCACATGCTGGAAACCGTCAGAATGCTTACCGTTTACATGTTCATGATAGTGAAATGCTTTACTTTGTGATTTTTAAGTAGTATTTAATACAATAATTTCTTCTCCTAGAACCCCCTGGTGCCTGACGACGTCAGAATACCAGATCCCAGAAGACACATATGCACCTTATCTGCTGGTCTTACTCAGAGATGGCTGAGCCATTATACACACGGAAGACTCCCACAAGAGATTTCCAAGTAAAATCCTCACTTCTCAAAACACGCTCATAAAATATCATTAGCAATAGTATGGATGAACAGTGCTTGTTCTATTTGATTGTCACAGCTAGATTGTGTATCTGCATGAGACTGTGAACACTAATTGTTTTTCTTTTACTTTTCTTGTAGCGAAATTGATCTTGTGTTTTCCTCTGCAAGTTGCCTCAATGGAAGTTTTCTGGCTGAGAGGTAAAATCAATTATACTCTACTTGGAAATGTTACTGAAAGTCTTGAAATAATACATTTTAATATAAAAAAAATTCTTACGATTTTTGGTGTCAACATTTACTGTATGAATTAAAGCATTTGAAATGTTCTATTATCATTGTGATAAATGTTTTACTAAAGCGAATCTGTCTGTTTTGTGTAGCCATCCAGATCACTACAACACGAGCAGTAAATGCTCAGGGGTGGATATGAACATGGCTCGCCTCTTGTTTCACAGAGTCGTTCAACCTGACTATCCAGAAATTGCACAGCAGGTGACAGTAATTCGATTTTGAAGTATGGTTTACCAAAATATTAGTCCTCATGTTATGACATTTGTTGATGCCTGGCCTGTAGGGTATTCAAATTAGTGGTGCAAATAAAGGGAGTCAGTATATTAGATGTCTGTCTGGCTAAAATGACAGTCAGTATATGTATGTTTGCTACCCTTCTGTATGAATTATTACAGCATTAAAGCATTCCTCCTTACCCTGTGTTCCCATGTGTCAGATTGCAGCCAGTCTGGAAAAGAACCTGATTCCCAGACTTAGCAGCTCCCCTCCAGACATCGAGGCTCTGAGACTCTACCTCACCCTGCCAGAGTGTCCTCTCTTCAGCGACCAAAACACATACGTGACTCTGGCCATCCCCTTTGCCAAGGCACTCATCAGTCTGAAAGAGGCTCCGCTGAAAGTGCTTGGTAAGTAGCTATGTTCTCTGTTCGGTGAACATAGTGGAGCAGCAAACTGTTCAGAGAGAGATTAAGTCTGGGTATTTAATTGACGTATTAGCATGTAGTGCAGGTTTTTGTATTTTGAGTGCTGTTTATTCAACATATTGATTTCAATTCAAAAGTGTTTTTATAGATTCTACTGTGGTCAGGTAAACCTCTTTTAGTTTATTAGATTCTTGCATCCAGATTGGCTCACAAGTCTCTTTGCTTTGCTGTGCTCTGTACTGATCCAGGTAACTGGTGGGCTCAATTCGAGGCCCCAGTCTTCCAGAGGCTAGTGGAGCTGTACAAGGCGGTGGTGGTGTACCTGCTCAGGATGCACACGGTGGGAGTCCCCCACTCAGAGCAGAGGGTCTTCACCTGCTTCCTGGACACGACACTCAAGCTCCTGGAGATCCTACATGCTGTGAGTGTTCATACACAAATCACAAATGCCTGATTCACACTATGGGGCTGAGCTGTATAGCATTAATCAGGCAATACTGTAGAATATCAGTCTTTCTCACATTACTCCTAGTTATAGATGGAAATATTTCATATTGTTTTAATCATTTTTTAAATAATTTGTAACTTTTCATTCAAATGCCTTAGTTTTTTTTTATTGATCTCCTAGGTGAATGAAAGAGCCGGACATATCATACAATACGACAAATTCTACATTAAAGAGTTGGATGACCTGATAGACATCCGAAACGACTACCTCACATGGATTAAACAGCAGATGTACTCTATGGTGAGTCAAGCAACTTCAAAACAATCCCTGAATGCACAATGTTATTGAGAACCCATGAAATCTCGTCTTCTTTTACAAATGCTGTCATTTAATATCCTACCCTAAGCTATTGCTTCTGTCCCCTCAGACTCACGACAGTGCTGTCACCCTCTGTAAGTACCCCTTTGTGTTTGATGCCCAGGCAAAGACCACCCTGCTTCAGACTGATGCTGTTATACAAATGCAGGTAAGGATGACTGACTCATTCGTTTTTACATATTGAACAAAATAATTGATCGTGTGACAATTTCCATGATTTATCTTGTAATTGCGCCATGATGGTTGAGCTCTGTCTCTTTTTTTGTTTGTTTGTTGTGATGCTTGTTTGTTTATATTTTCAAGTGCCTTGAGATTTTTCTGTATAATGTAAAGCGCTATAGAGGTTGAATCGATTATAATTATTTCTGGTGTCATTAGATGGCAGTGGACCAGGCGCAGCGGCAGAACTTCAGCTCCATGTTCCATCCCGTGGTAGAATCTGTGAACCCCTGCCTCATCCTCATTGTAAGGAGGGAGAACATCGTCGGGGACACCATGGAGGTCCTCAGGAAGTCCAAGAACGTCGACTACAAGAAACCTCTGAAGGTTTGCCTGTTTACCCTCTGCCATCACACCTGGGTTGTATTCATTAGGACAAGCTATAGCGAAACACACATTAGCATTTCTTATCTTATCCTGAAGTCCCCCCGTTTTCTTCCGTTGCCTAACACAACCCTGAATTCGTCAGATCAGACGGTTGAGACTGATGTCCTGGATGTACACTGGAGTTGATGGTTGTGTTCTTGCTATGCAGGTGATCTTTGTTGGGGAAGAGGCGGTTGATGCGGGGGGTGTGCGGAAGGAGTTCTTCCTTCTGATCATGAGAGAGCTTCTGGACCCCAAATACGGGATGTTCCGATACTACGAGGAATCCAGGCTGATCTGGTTTGCAAACAAGGTACACATTTCACTTTTGTTTCATTCCAGTGAATTGTGTGTTGTTGAATACGCATTGTTGGGTCAGTTCAGAAAACTCTCTAGCTTTAAGTTTAAACTTTGTCAAGGTATTCACAATAGTGTTGTCTTTTTGTGGTATTCTGTTAAATCTGAAGTACTGGTATGCTTGGACACCATCCTGGTTGCATTTCTTACACTATCCTCACTCTATGGACCATGTTCATGTTCCTCTCAGACGTTTGAGGACATTGACCTATTCCACCTCATCGGGGTCATCTGTGGGCTGGCCATCTACAACCTCACCATTGTGGACCTTCACTTCCCAGTGGCCCTGTACAAGAAGCTGCTGAAGAGGAACCCCACGTTGGATGATCTTAAGGAGCTGATGCCTGATGTGGGGAGGTTAGCTCAGGGGTCAAGCACCTCAGGTTTCCCTTAAGCACTAATGTGGAGGCACAGTCTGCTTATTGCTTTAATGGTGCAATGAGCAATAAAATGTAAATGGTTGTGGAAGTTTCTTGAGCATCAGAGGAAATGAGAAGGTTGACATAACATCTCAAATGCAGCAAATTGGATCGTTTCAAAAAGGTTTCTTCCAAATATACACTGAGTATACCAAACATTAGGAACACCTTCCTAGGATTGAGTTCCTAGGTTTGAGTTGAGTTGAGCAGGTGTCCTTAATGTTTTGAATACTCAGTGTATATCGGAAAGTATTCAGACCCCTTGACTTTTTCCAAATGTTGTTACGTTACAGCCTTATTCTAAAATTGAATAAATAAAAATCCTCATCAATCTGCATACAATACCCATAATGACAAAGCCAAAACAGGTTTTTAGATTATTTATTTTTTAGAATGTATTAAAAAATAAATAAAACATACGCTATGAGACTCAATTGAGCTCAGGTGCATCCTGTTTCCATTGATCATCCTTGATGTTTCTACAACTTGATTGGAGTCCACATAACAGCCCGCTTAGAGTTTGCCAAAAGGCACCTAAAAGACTCAGACCATGAGAAACAAGATTCTCTGGTTGATGAAACGAAGATTGAACTTTTTGGCCTGAATGTCAAGCGTCACGTCTGGAGGAAACCTGGCACCATTCCTACTGTGAAGCATGGTGGTGGCAGCATCATGCTGTGGGGATGTTTTTCAGCGGCATGGACTGGGAGACTAGTCAGGATCGAGGGAAAGATGGAACAGAGCAAAGTACTGAGAGATCCTTGATGAAAACCTGCTCCAGAGCACTACCTTGTCACAACACAACTGATTGGCTCAAACGCATTAAGGAGGAAATACATTCCACAAATGAACTTTTAAGGCACACCTGTTAATCTTTTTTTAAAAATTATTATTATTATTTTTTAGTCATTTTGCAGACGCTTTTATCCAGAGCGACTTACAGTTAGTGAGTGCATACATTTTTCACTTTACTTACTTTGCCCCCTGTGGGATTGAAATGCATTCCAGGTGACTACCTCATGAAGCTGGTTGAGAGAATGCCAAGTGTGCAAAGCTGTCATAAAGGCAAATGGTAACTACTTTGAAGAATCTAAAAAATAAAAAATAGATTTTGAATGTAACACTTTTGGTTACTACATGATTCCATATGTGTTATTTCATAGTTTTGATGTCTTCATTATTATTCTACAATGTAGAAAATAGTAAGAAAATGAAAAAAAGAAAAAAAACCTTGAATGAGGAGGTATGTCCAACCTTTTGACTGGTACTATACATTTGCTAAAAATTCTACAAACCTGTTTTTGCTTTGTCATTATAGGGTATTGTGTGTAGCTTGAGGAGAAAAAACAATCAATTTTAGAAAAAGGCTGTAACGTAACAAAATGTGGAAAACGTCAAGGGGTCTTTTATACTTTCCAAATGCACTGTGTAGTGTGGGCTGTAGTATGAGCAATTTTTGTTGTAATTTTCCCTTTTTCACCAAAAACCAGGAATCTGCAGCAGTTACTAGACTACACAGAGGATGATGTCGAAGACATATTCTGCTTGAACTTCACAGTAAGTGTCAACATTTTACATCAATGTACTTTATGTAGCTGAATCTCTTGTCTAGAGATGGCAAAGTGGTGATATGTGCAAGGCTTACTTGGAGAAGTCAATGTTATTTGTCCAACTTGTTTCAGGTTACAGTTGAAAACTTTGGTGCCACAGAGGTCTTGGAACTGGTTCCAAATGGCATGGATATCTGTGTTGACAACTCAAACAGGTACTTTTCCAGAGTATTCCAGGGTCTTCTAATTTATCCTCTACTTCATAACAAAGTCGGGCTGAATGTTCAGTGGATTGATTTGATTAGAAGTTTTTTAACAAATGTATAGTTGTGTAACAAAATAGTGCTAAATCCTATGTCTTGTCTGAGTGTCTTAAACATATGCAGAGAGCATCTGTATGAGTGTCTGCTGATGTGTTTCTAAATGTTCTTTTTCGTGGTGTTCCCTCAGGCCTGAGTTTGTCTCTGCATACGTGGACTACATCTTCAATACATCAGTGGCCGCGCTTTTCGAGTCGTTTTCCGCAGGCTTCCACAAAGTGTGTGGTGGCAAAGTCCTGGAGCTGTTCCAGCCCAACGAACTGCAGGCCATGGTCATTGGCAACACCAACTACGATTGGAAAGAGCTTGAAAAGGTACAGAGGTCCCCATTAGCTTTAACGCTATCAATTGGTCTTGGAGTGGTACAGTAATATAATTTTTGCTATTTCACCAGAGCACTGAGTATAAAGGAGAGTACTGGGCTGAAAATCCAACCATTAAGTTCTTCTGGGAGGTGTTCCACGATCTCTCTTTGGAGAAGAAGAAGCTCTTTCTCTGTAAGGCTCTCTTTGAAAGCATTCAGACTATCATATCAGACTACAGTGCCTTGCAAATGTATTCATCCCCCTTGGCATTTTTCCTATTTTGTTGCATTACAACCTGTAATTTAAATTGATTTTTATTTGGATTTCATGTAATGGACATACACAAAATAGTCCAAATTGGTGAAGTGAAATTAAAAAAAATAACTTGTGGTGCGTGCGTATGTATTCACCCCCTTTGCTATGAAGCCCCTAAATAAGATCTGGTGCAACCAATTGCCTTCAGAAGTCACATAATTAGTTAGATTGCGCACAGATGGACTTTATTTAAGTGTCACATGATCTGTATATACACCTGTTCTGAAAGGCCCCAGAGTCTGCAACACCACTAAGCAAGGGGCACCACCAAGCAAGCGGCACCATGAAGACCAAGGAGCTCTCCAAACAGGTTAGGGACAAAGTTGTGGAGAAGTACAGATCAGGGTTGGGTTATACAAAAATATCGGAAACTTTGAACATCCCAAGAGCACCATTTTAAATCCATTATAAAAAAATGGAAAGAATATGGCACCACAACAAACCTGCCAAGAGAGGGCCGCCCACCAAAACTCACGGACCAGGCAAGGAGGGCATTAATCAGAGGCAACAAAGAGACCAAAGATAACCCTGAAGGAGCTGCAAAGCTCCACAGCGGAGATTAGAATATCAGTCCATAGGACCACTTTAAGCCGTACACTCCACAGAGCTGGGCTTTACAGAAGAGTGGCCAGAAAAAAGCCATTGCTTAAAGAAAAAAAATAAGCAAACACGTTTGGTGTTCGCCAAAAGGCATGTGGGAGACTCCCCAAAGAAGGTACTCTGGTCAGATGAGACTAAAATTGAGCTTTTTGGTAATCAAGGAAAACGCTATGTCAGGCGCAAACCCAACACCTCTCATCACCCCGAGAACACCATCCCCACAGTGAAGCATGGTGGCAGCATCATGTTGTGGGGATGTTTTTCATTGGCAGGGACTGGGAAACTGGTCAGAATTGAAGGAATGATGGATGGCGCCTAATACAGGGAAATTCTTGAGGGAAACCTGTTTCAGTCTTCCAGAGATTTGAGACTGGGACGGAGGTTGACCTTCCAGCAGGACAATGACCCTAAGCATACGGCTAAAGCAACACTCTAGTAGTGGGTTCGATCCCCGGGACCACCCATACACAAAAATGTATGCACGCATGACTGTAAGTCGCTTTGGATAAAAGCGTCTGCTAAATGGCATATTATTATTATTATTATTATTATTATTATTATTAAGGGGAAACATTCACATGTCTTGGAATGGCCTAGTCAAAGCCCAGACCTCAATCCAATTGAGAATCTTGGTATGACTTAAAGATTGCTGTACACCAGCTGAACCAATCCAACTTGAAGGAGCTGGAGCAGTTTTGCCTTGAAGAATGGGACAAAAATCCCAATGGCTAGATGTGCCAAGCTTATAGAGACATACCCCAAGAGACTTGCAGCTGTAATTGCTGCAAAGGTGGCTCTACAAAGTATTGACTTTGGGTGGGGGGGGTGAATAGTTATGCATGCTCAAGTTTTCTGTTTTTTTGTCTTTCTTGTTTGTGTCGCACACAAAAATATTTTGCATCTTCAAAGTGGTAGGCATGTTGTGTAAATCAAATGATACAAACACCCAAAAAATCAATTTTAATTCCAGGTTGTAAGGCAACAAAATGGGAAGAATTCCAAGGGGGGTGAATACTTTCGCAAGCCACTGTATGTCATGTCACTATGCCATGCTAGTAGGGGCTATTTACTGCTTAAATGTGAATGCTTTTGGTTTTGAACACCTTGGCACTGAAGTAATGTGTATTGTATTTTCAGTGTTTCTCACAGGAAGTGACCGCATTCCCATCCTGGGCATGAAAAGCCTGAAGCTGGTGATCCAGCCCACGGGAGGTGGGGAACACTACCTGCCCGTCGCACACACCTGCTTCAACCTATTGGACCTGCCCAAGTACAGCAGCCGGGAGACGCTTCAAAACAAGCTTCTCCAAGCCATAGATCACAATCAAGGTTTCAACCTGGCCTAACGAATGGCACACAAACAATGCCTAGCTCCACCCAGTCTGTTTATGGTAATCACATGCACACGTCTTTGCCCCGTCAACTCTGACTCGATTCCTGCTTTAAGACTGCAGCACTGTCAACAGCGTTGAAATGGAACAGACTAAGCAGCATTTGCAGGGGGGCAAATAGTTATGCAAGAGGCTTGAGGGCTTTCTATTTCAAGGTCGATCTTTCAGTATAATTTACAATTTCACACCATCACAATATTGAAGACCCAGTTGAGTTCAAATTCAATTCACATTGTTTGATATTTCTCTTGTAGATTAGCTTTTACTCGTGTTTGGATAAACTAGTCTAAATAGGCCAAAGTTCTGGTATAAAATCTTTGAGCTCATCTGGCGCAAGATAGCACTGTTCATGAATGAAATTAATCTTCTACTTTGGCAATTTCTACCATGAATAGAAATGAATCATCTACCATGGTAAAAACATGGTATGAATGTGAGCGTTTGATGTTGAGTGGATGTTCTTGGCTGTAAGCCTTAAAACTAGACAAATAAAAAATTAAACATTACAGCCATGGGTATTGTGTTGACCAAGTGTATATGAATTAAGGCTTCAACTGCTAGAATGCTGCTCTGAAACATTGCATTTTTGTGAAAATGGTAGGCTAGTGCCAATATGAGTTTTGTTTATCAATAATATAATTCCTCTAAAATGTGTCTTGCGATAACACTTCGGTGCTTTATAATTACTTCATAAAAATGCTCCGAACATTACACTAAACTGTAGATGACACGTTCTACATCACTTAATGGATTTCTATTCCATATGTGTATGTTGCATTGGGAAAAGTATGATTTGAATGTATACATAAAAAAAAAAATAACACATGTAAAGTGTTGGTCCTATGTTTCATGAGCTGAATTAAAAGATCCCAGAAATTTTCCAATACGCACAAAAAACACTTCTTTACAGGCCTGTTAGTGAGTATTTCTCCTTTGCCAAGATAATTCATCAACCTGACAGGTGTGACATATCAAGAAGCTGGATAAACAGCGTGACCATTACACAGGTGCACCTTGTGCTGGGGACAATGAAAGGCCACTAAAATGTGCACTCAACACAATGACACAGATGTTTTGGTGGAGTGTGCAATTGGCACGCTGACTGCAGGAATGTCCACCAGAGCTGTTGCCAGAGTATTGAATGTTCATTTCTCTACCATAAGCCACCTCCAACGTCGTTTTAGAGAATTTGGCAGTACGTCTAACCGGCCTCACAACCGCAGACCACGTGTAACCACACCAGCCCAGGAACTCCACATCCGGCTTCTTCACCTGCGGGATCATCTGAGACCAGCCACTCGGACAGCTGATGAAACAGCAGTATTTCTGTCTAATAAAAAAACTCATTCAGATTGGCTGGGCCTGGTTCCCAAGTTTGTTGGCCTATGCCCACCCATGGCTGCGCCCCTGCCCAGTTGTGAAATCCATAGATTAGGGCCTAATGAATTTATTTCAATTGACTGATTTCCTTATATGAACTGTAACTCAGTAAAATCATTGAAATTGGTGCATGTTGCGTTTATTTTTGTTCAGTATAGAGTGCTAATCAACGTTGCCCCCTTTCAACCTCCAAGTGCCCATGTATCCGATGTTGTTCCAAGAATATGAAGATAAAATTAGCCTGTTGAGACAATTCAAGTTGACAGTATTTTAATGTTAGAAACTACATATTAATCAGCTGAAATGCACACATTGTTCAGGGTAGATGGTGAGTGAATGAGGCAGTTTATCCTGGTCCAGTGGCAAGGAGCTTGGTGGGTGTTTCAGTGGGGCAGCTCATGACGGACAAACTGGTAATGGGACCCACATTCGGGACAGCGCTGGGGCTTCCCCTCGTGGAGCCAGAACCACACAATGGCAGTGTTGTCCTCTTCACCTATGGTACATAATGACAAGCATTGGCACATTTTTATATTATTTTGAGAAAATTGTAAAGCATGACACAATGGTACTTACACAGACAGCCTACCAGCCGTTTGTCACTAATGCCTGGGACAATGTGAGGGTCTTCTTTGGTTCCAGCATACTCCTTGGGTTTCAAAATGCTCCAAGGATCCTGCATTTTATTTTTCATAAAAAGTACTTGTATGAACACATCAATCTTATTTGAATTGAATCAAATATCACAATAGGCTTAAACAAATATACAGTGCATTGGGAAAGTATTGAAACCCCTTGACCTTTTCCACATTTTGTTACGTTACAAAAAAAAATCCTCATCAATCTACACACAATACCCCATAATGACAAAGCAAAAAAAGGTTTTTAGACATTTTTGCTAATTTATTAATAATAAACAGAAATACCTTATTCACGTAAGTATTCAGACCCTTTGCTATGAGACTCAAAATTTAGCTCAGGTGCATCCTGTTTCCATTGATCATCCTTGAGATGTTACTACAACGTGATTGGAGTCCGCCTGTGGTAAATTCAATTGATTGGACATGATTTGGAAAGGCACACACCTGTCTATATAAGGTCCCACAGTTGACAGTGCATGTCAGAGCAAAAACCAAGCCACGAGGTCGAAGGAATTGTCCGTAGAGATCCGAGACAGGATTGTGTCGAGGCACAGATCTGGGGAAGGGTACCAAAAAATGTCTGTAGCATTGAACGTCCCCAAGAACACAGTGGCCTCCATCATTCTTAAATGGAAGAAGTTTGGAACCACCAAGACTCCTCTTAGAGCTGGCCGCCCGGCCAAACTGAGCAATCGGGGGAGAAGGGCCTTGGTCAGGGAGGTGCTCAAGAACCCGATGGTCACTCTGACAGAGCTCCAGAGTTCCTCTGTGGAGATGGGAGAAACTTCCAGAAGGACAACTATCTCTGCAGCACTCCACCAATCAGGCCTTTATGGTAGAGTGGCCAGACGGAAGCCACTCTCAGTAAAAGGCACATGACAGCCCGCTTAGAGTTTGCCAAAAGGCACCTAAAGGACTCTCAGACCATGAGAAACCAAGATTCTCTGGTCTGATGAAACCAAGATTTAACTCTTTGGCCTGAATGCCAAGCGTCACGTCTGAAGGAAACCTGGCACCATCCCTACGGTGAAGCATGGTGGTGGCAGCATCATGCTGTGGGGATGTTTTTCAGTGGCAGGGACTGGGAGACAAGTCAGGATCGAGGGAAAGATGAACGGAGCTAAGTACAGAGAGATCCTTGATAGAAACCTGCTCCAGAGTGCTCAGAACCTCAGACTGGGGTGAAGGTTCACCTTCCAACAGGACAACAACCCTAAGCACACAGCCAAGACAACGCAGGAGTGGCTTCGGGACAAGTCTCTGAATGTCTTTGAGTGGCCCAGGAAGAGCCCGTACTTGAACCCGATCGAACATCTCTGGAAAGACCTGAAAATAGCTGTGCGGCGACGCTCCCCATCCAACCAGACAGAGCTTGAGAGGATCTGCAGAGAAGAATGGGAGAAACTCCCCAAATACAGGTGTACCAAGCTTGTAGCATCATACCAAAGAAGACTCGAGGCTGTAATCACTGCCAAAGGTGCTTCAACAAAGTTCTGAGTAAAGGGTCTGAATACTTATGTAAATGTGATATTTCCGTTTTCTAAAAACCTGTTTTTGCTTTGTCATTATGGGGTATTGTGTGTAGATTGATGAGGGGAAAAAACAATTTAATCCATTTTAGAATAAGGCTGTAACATAAGTGGAAAAGTCAAGGGGTCTGAATACTTTCCGAATGCTCTGTATGCTATTTAGATATGACCTTTCCCTTCTTTAGTGCCTGCAAGGCACGTCGCTCGAGTCCAGTGGCCTGTTCCTCATCAGTTGGAATCCCTGGAAGGAGACTAATGTTATTAGGGCGGCAGGTAGCTTAGTGGTTAAGAGAAAAATCTGTATATGTGCCCTTGAGCAAGGCCCTTAACCCTAATTGCTCCTGTAAGTCACTCTGGATAAATGTAAAAATTTGTGTGACACCTGTGACTTCATAAACTACTTGCCATTCAAATTAAGGGCATAATGTTTATCAGAACAAGAAAATCATGTTACCTCTTAACAGAGTGCATGTAATAGTTATGAGTCACACTGCACGTCCACAAGCACACACAACTAATGTCCTCCATGTTAAGATATACCTGGCACCAAATCAACGAATGTCTGCCAAAGAAGGTGGGTCTATCAAGGGGCCTTCCAGTGGTTAAAATCCAAATGACCTTCATTTATTCACAAATGTAGTAGGTTTCGTGTGTTTTTACATACAGTTGCATAATTTTACAATTAATAACACTGTCAAATGGATAGTTATTGTATGAATGCGTCATGCACGTTTATTCTGTGAATTGATGTTCTATTTTTACAAATGTGGTGACTAGGCGAAGTGTTGCCTTGTAGGATATACTTGCAGAGCACATTCATAAAATACTTTATTCTATAATGTCAATTACTTCAATAAAACAGATTAGTTATTAGATTTGACGGACATGTCGACGGACCATAACCAATTAGATGTATTTTACGCACGCACTTACCTTTTAACGTGCCCATAGCGCGTGGCAGTAATCTTGCCACAACATTGTTTCTTGTCAATTGCAAGGTTGCACAGGTGCGGAGTAAAAGTCTGCCTGCCATAATGAATTCACTTTCGCTTAAGCTACTGCGTGTGATATGAACAATCTGCTGGACTGAAATGACCCCATTTATTTCCAACCCGTGACTTGATTGACGGAGTCAACTGTCCACTCACAAAGTAACGGTCTTATGAATTGGCCAATTAAAAAAGGATAAGGAACGCACCCGAACAGGGGAACACTTTTTAGATTTTTTTGGTGTGGATTTTTTTCTTTGATATCGTTTTATAGTAGACAATGTTCAACAGATAATGCCCTGGCATAGACACAAAAAGCGTGCTTCGCGCGTCAAGGTCATCGTTTGATCATTAATCTGAACCTACGCTCAAAACAATTGAGTCAATTACTAATGAATTTAAGAGTAGACTAAATGTTACATGGCCTTGTAATGAGTCTACACCAAGCAGTGACAGTTGTATGGTTGCAGGTTGCAAATGGTTTTAGCTTTTAAGCTGTTCATGCTTGAAATTCACATTTTCAATGCAATACATTATCATTTGTTTTGTTGTCCCCATATTTGTGAAGTAATAATATGATAAATTAAAGTCAGCATATTGAATACATAACATTTATTAGCTGTGAAAATACCATCCAGAGCTATTTCCATAATTAAAAAAGGCAACAATGTACAGGGAGACAACACAAAAACAATACTATACTTCCCATGATGACATCTATTGGGTCATTTTGATAAAGAGCTAAATTGGCCCATTCCAGTCTCCATGCCATAGACTATACAGTGAGGGAAAAAAGTATTTGATCCCCTGCTGATTTTGTACATTTGCCCACTGACAAAGACATGATCAGTCTATAATTTTAATGGTAGGTTTATTTGAACAGTGAGAGACAGAATAACAACAAAAAAATCCAGAAAAACGCATGTCAAAAATGTTATAAATTGATTTGCATTTTAATGAGGGAAATAAGTATTTGACCCCTCTGCAAAACATGACTTAGTACTTGGTGGCAAATCCCTTGTTGGCAATCACAGAGGTCAGACGTTTCTTGTAGTTGGCCACCAGGTTTGCACACATCTCAGGAGGGATTTTGTTCCACTCCTCTTTGCAGATCTTCTCCAAGTCATTAAGGGTTTGAGGCTGACGTTTGGCAACTCGAACCTTCAGCTCCCTCCACAGATTTGCTATGGGATTAAGGTCTGGAGACTGGCTAGGCCACTCCAGGACCTTAATGTGCTTCTTCTTGAGACACTCCTTTGTTGCCTTGGCCGTGTGTTTTGGGTCATTGTCATGCTGGAATACCCATCCACGACCCATTTTCAATGGCTGAGGGAAGGAGGTTCTCACCCAAAATTTGACAGTACGTGGCCCGTCCATCGTCCCTTTGATGCGGTGAAGTTGTCCTGTCCCCTTAGCAGAAAAACACCCCCAAAGTTTCCACCTCCATGTTTGACGGTGGGGATGGTGTTCTTGGGGTCATAGGCAGCATTCCTCCTCCTCCAAACACGGCGAGTTGAGTTGATGCCAAAGAGCTTGATTTTGGTCTCATCTGACCACAACACTTTCACCCAGTTCTCCTCTGAATCATTCAGATGTTCATTGGCAAACTTCTGACGGCCCTGTATATGTGCTTTCTTGAGCAGGGGGACCTTGTGGGCGCTGCAGGATTTCAGTCCTTCACGGCGTAGTGTGTTACCAATTGTTTTCTTGGTGACTATGGTCCCAGCTGCCTTGAGATCATTGACAAGATCCTCCCGTGTAGTTCTGGGCTGATTCCTCACCGTTCTCATGATCATTGCAACTCCACGAGGTGAGATCTTGCATGGCGCCCAAGGCCGAGGGAGTTATTTTGTGTTTCTTCCATTTGCGAATAATAATAATAAATAATAATAATAATTGGTCATTTAGCAGACGCTCTTATCCAGAGCGACTTACAGGAGCAATTAGGGTTAAGTGCCTTGCTCAAGGGCACATCGACAGATTTTTCACCTAGTCGGCTCGGGGATTAGAACCAGCGACCTTTCGGTTACTGGCACAACGCTCTTAACCACTAAGCTACCTGCCGCCTAATAATCGCATCAACTGTTGTCACCTTCTCACCAAGCTGCTTGGCGATGGTCTTGTAGCCCATTCCAGCCTTGTGTAGGTCTACAATCTTGTCCCTGACATCCTTGGAGAGCTCTTTGGTCTTGGCCATGGTGGAGAGTTTGGAATCTGATTGATTGATTGCTTCTGTGGACAGGTGTCTTTTATACAGGTAACAAACTGAGATTAGGAGTACTCCCTTTAAGAGTGTGCTCCTAATCTCAGCTCATTACCTGTATAAAAGACACCTGTGAGCCAGAAATCTTTCTGATTGAGAGGGGGTCAAATAATTATTTCCCTCATTAAAATGCAAATCAATTTATAACATTTTTGACATGCGTTTTTCTGGATTTTTTTGTTGTTATTCTGTCTCTCACTGTTCAAATAAACCTACCATTACAATTATAGACTGATCATTTCTTTGTCAGTGGGCAAACGTACAAAATCAGCAGGGGATCAAATACTTTTTCCCCTCACTGTATATAAATAATATATATGCTCCATACCCTAGGGCCTACGCCATGGCAAAACTGGGGAATTTCATTATAATTTTCCACAGAGGGTCTAATAGGTTACACCTGATAGATAAAATACAATTGGTGTAGCAATTACATACAATTAAGGTGAATATGGGAGCCGACAAGTAACATTATTCACAAGGAAACTGACAACACTTTCCATTTAGATTTCATAATTTCTGAATTTCCGCAGAAGACTGGATGGGGAGTCAGAAGCCCACCGAAAATGGCGATGGCAGTAATCACCTGGATAATGGGGACATCAAAAATATGATTAAAAATAAAAAGGTACAGTTATTTAATAAGACATTTAAATCAAATAAGATTAGACCAAGAGCCTCATTTGAAGCATTATATTCCCATAAGGTTAGTGGTATATTACCATAACCAATATTGCATGTTGGATTTTAGTTCTGTCTAACTATATGTTGGCAAAAGTACCTGTAAACATGAAAATCATTTAAAACTAGGCTATGTCCTCACTTGATGATGGCACTGCATCTGGTGAAGGCATCTCTGGTACCTCGTGGTCAGTACAGTCTCTGTCTTGGGAACTGTTAGGGAATGTTGCTTTAGAGCTCTCCAGCATGGGCTCCTTTTTGGTCCTCACAGCCCAATGCATTGACTGAGGACAGAGAGCAACGTACCCAAACATTAAAAAACACAATCAGATAAAGTGTGTTTAACATAATATAATGTATGCATTCAACACAGGATACATTTTTTGAATGGGCTTATCTCAGTTACATAATACTTGACCTTAGGTCACCTGATTAAATGTAGGCAGTGTAAAGTTTGACAACTCTTTGTTATGCTTTGTTATTATGTTAACAAGTGGACTAGTGCCCCATTATTTGTTCTATGAAAGAGCACCCCTTTACATCATAATTATGATTCTCATAATATACAGTACAAGTTAAAAGTTTGGACACACCTACTCATTCAAGGGTTTTCCTTTATTTTTTACTATTTTCTACATTGTAGAATAATAGGGAAGACATCAAAACTATGAAATAACACATATGGAATCATGTAGTAACCAAAAAAGTGTTAAACAAATCAAAATATATTTTATATTTGAGATTCTTCAAATAGCCACCCTTTGCCTTGATGACAGCTTTGGACTGGTACTGTACATACTGTTTTGACAGAGTCGCCAAGGGCTAGCCAGCCATGGAATGGAATGGTAATTCCACTTCTTTTCCATACATCATAGTTTCTTCTACTTTTTTCATTGCACAAAACCTCCTTGGCTTCCTGCAACTTCTGAAACTCTTCCACTGCAACAAAATGATGACATAATGATGAGCATGGATAGGATTATTGCGATGACATTTTTATGACACAAATATATTGACATTTATGTGCCTTCAGAAAGTCTTCACAAAACTTAAACTTTTCCGCATTGTGTTGTGTTACAGCCTGAATTTAAAATTGATTAAATTGAGATTTTTGGTCACTGGCCTACACACAATACCCCATAATGTCAAATTGGAATTATGTTTTTCGAAATGTTTACAAATTAATAAAAAATGAAAAGCTGAAATGTCTTGAGTCAATAAGTATTCAACCCATTTGTTAGGGCAAGCATCAATAGATTCAGAAGTAGAAATGTGCTTATCGAGTCACATAATAAGTTGCATGGACTCACTCTGTGTTCAAAAATTGTGTTTAACATGATTTTTGAATGACTACCTCATCTCTGTACCCCACACATACAATTATCTGTAAGGTCCCTCAGTCAAGCAGTGAATTTCAAACACAGATTCAACCACAAAGACCAGGGAGGTTTTCCAATGCCTCGCAAAGAAGGGCACCTGTTGGTAGATGGGTAAAAAACTAAAAACAGACATTGAATATCCCTTTGAGCATGGTCAAGTTATTAATTACACTTTGGATGGTTTATCAATACACCCAGTCACTACTAAGATACAGGCGTCCTTCCTAACTCAGTGTCCGTTCCTCAGGGATTTCATCATGAGGCCAATGGTGACTTTTAAAAAGTTACAGAGTTTAATGGCTGTGATAAGAGAACACAGAGGATAGATCAACATTGTAGTTACTCCTAATTGACAGAGTGAAAAGATGGAAGCCTGTACAGAATACAACATATTCAAAAAACATGCATCAAGGCACTAAAGTAATACTGCAAAAAATGTGGTAAAGCAATTAACTTTTTGTCCTGAATACATATGTTTGGGGCAAATCCAATACAACACATTACTGAGTGTAACCGGTGTGAAATGGCTAGCTAGTTAGCGGTGCGCGCTAGTAGCATTTCAATCGGTGACGTCACTCGCTCTGAGACCTAGAAGTAGTTGTTTCCCTTGCTCTGCAAGGGCCGCGGCTTTTGTGGAGCGACGGGTAACGGTGCTTCGAGGGTGACTGTTGTCGATGTGTGCAGAGGGTCCCTGGTTCAAGCCCAGGTAGGGGCGAGGAGAGGGACGGAAGCAACACTGTTACATGAGCACCACTCTCCATATTTTCAAGCATAGTGGTGGCTGCATCATGTTATGGGTATGCTTGTAATCGTTAAGGACTGGGGAGTTTTTCCAGGATAAAAAAGAAACTGAATGAAGCTAAACACAGGCAAAAGCCTAGAGGAAAACCTAGTTCAGTCTGCTTTCCACTAGACACTGGGAGATGAATTCACCTTTCAGCAGGACATAACCTTAAACACAAGGCCAAATCTACACTGGAGTTTCTTACCAAGAAGACAGTGAATATTCCTGAGAGGCTGAGTTACAGTTTTGACTTAAATTTACTTGAAAATCTATGGCGACCTAAAAATGTTTGTCTAGCAATGATCAACAACCAATTTGACAGAGCTTGAAGATTTTTGAAAATAATAAATGGACAAATGTTGCACAATCCACGTGTGGAATGCTCTTAGAGACTTACCTAGAAAGGCTCACAGCTGTAATCGCTGCCAAAGGTGCTTCTACAAAGTATTGACTAACGGGTGTGAATATTTATGTAAATGAGATATTTCTGTATTTCATTTTCAATACATTTGCAAAAATGTCTAAAAACATGTTTTCACTTTGTCGTTATGGGGTATGGTATGTAGATGGGTGAGAAAAAAACAATTAAATCAATTTTGAATTCAGGCTGAAACCCAACAAAGTGGAATAAGTCAAGGGGTATGAATACTTTCTGAAGGCACTGTACATGACAATCATCACCTGTCACAGTACACAAGAGGGGCACAATCACACAGAATTGATCCATTACCTGCTCTTGGATTCTCAGGGTGCTTGTCTGGATGGCATGCCAAGGCCCTTACTCTGTATTCATTGGCAATCTGTTCTGTCTAAAAACAAAGACACATCATGAAAGTTTTATTCATATACATTATGTTACATTTGCCATGGCCTTAAAAGCTGGTTGAACTGACAATCAAAATCGTTATAGCAGTCACTGACAAAAGGTGCATGAAATTATACCAAGCTACGCCACTTTCACTGCACAGTATGAGATCCATATCTCAACAGGTCGTCACATTTATTTAGCCTAGCTAGCTAACGTTATTGCTAGTGGGAAAACAAACTATCTTACCGAAGATAACTCATCGCATCCGAGTAACCCGTAATAATCGTCCAAGAGCTCTGGTTTGCAATTTAAAATATCATCCATTCTGATTTATTTTAGCTATATAAGCTTTGAAAATAACAGACTTAGCTAGCCTGACTGCTCTGAAGGCTGCGGTGTTGCGCGTTCCAGGTCGACTTTATTTTAACGGCGCCGCGCAGCTAGAAGTCTAAAGAACCAGAGAAGAACCACGATATGTCACTGACTATTGCAATATTATCCAGCTAACGCTAATAGTTTTAGTTGATTTGAAATGTGCAATTTGCTCAATTAATTCAATCAATGACAATTTCATAGCTAAACATCAATAAGCACACGATACATTTTGTTGTGGTTGACGTGCTGAAGTGGCGCTCGGGGCCGCAACCAAAGACGACAGTGTGAAGATAGGCTAAAACTGCTTATCCCAGATCACACTTGAAGGCGATGTCATGGCGACGTTGGCTAGCTAAGCGCATGCGTAGAAACGCGTAATCGGTCTAACGGTCGTTTCGCGCCGATCTGCGCATGTGCAGGCCGTCAAACGGCACTCCTTCGATATAAAGTTGTTTTTGACGAAAATGAGGTTGGAGTAATAACATGTACAACTATTTAAGACATTGTCTCGAATGTAGGTTGTGCCTTCAGATTTAGAGAACATTATCAACTAAGGAACCATTTTTCACTTCTATCATTGACTTCTCAAGCTCCAAATCCCGGCCTGGTCTGTTTGTTCTGTTCCTCAAGCGTTGCCGGAACTCAAGCAATGTTGCGCCGCTTGGTTTAGAAACTCTGTGCCGCATCTCTGGTGGAGAGCGAATCACATTCGCCATTTAAATAACCAGCTGTCGACCGCGGAAGAATGTTTTACCACAGTACACAGCGGCTTTATCAGCTGAAGATGGCGGACGGGGAAAATATCCTTGTTGGAGCCAGTTCCAGCACTTCAAATATTGAAGAACCAGTTTCAAAAAAGCCCAAAATGGGCATGGCCATAGAATGTGGACTCAAAATTGTTAAGACTGAGCAAGTTACGTACGGGCCAGAGGCTGGTGAGAGTTGGGCGACGGCGATTTCTGCGCTGCCAGAGAAGGAGATTGAGCCGGTGTTGGTAGGACAGGCCTCAGCAGCAGCACCAGGCGGAGACAATGGGCTGCTGGGCTTCGAGCCTCAGGAAAGGGTAGCGAATTTAGACAAGGCTTCTGGACCCACTGCGGAGCCTGCAGGTAGGATAATTTTGCTAGCTGGTATGCCAAGTTTTTTGGCGGACTCGACCATTGTATGTCTGGTTAACGTTAGGTTGCTCCACCTAGTTAGATACCAATTGGGCTAGCTTTGTAACTAAGTTGTTACTAGCGAGTTCAGCAGCACGTCAGCCTGAAGTTTGAAACTAGCTAACTTTGCGTGCATTACGCATGATATGAGACTTTATTATTATTATTTTATTTTTTTGTCATTTTAGCAGACGCTCTTATCCAGAGCGACTTACAGTTAGTTATTAGCCAATGCTTTTACCCACCCATAAAAATGTAACAACCTTTAGCGGGAGAGCTAGCTAACTATCAACATTGGCTATTTGGATTGTCATTAAATTGCAAGTTAGTTTTTTTTGCAAATTTCAAGGAATGCAAAAATACAGTTCAATAATTTGTTGTTTTAGGAATATATACTGTTAATTAAATGAATTAACAAAACTATCACTTCCCACTATCATGTCCTCCTTATTCCTGATCCTGAGTGTCTTGACCCTGATGATGAGGAACTTAACCCAAATGCCTTTGCCTCCCCAGACGGTGTCAATGAGGATGATGACAGATCCTCACATGCAAGTTCCAGTGACTGGACACCTCAACCACAGATAGGTACAAGATGACAAATAAGTCATATTTTTAATACACCTGTTTTAGTACACAAAATTGCATGCAAACCAGGTAATGTTAAAGATACAATAACATGTTTTAAGCTATTTGAATGTATTGATGTTGGTGTGTTTTTTAAAATTAGGTTCCTACAGTTTTATCCAGCAACACATCATGAGAGAGACAGATCCGAGAACAATACTGAAAGACTTGCTTCCTCCAGAGACTGTGCTTCCGCCCGACTTGGATGACATGACACTGTGGCAGATCATCATCAACATTTCGGAGCCTCCTAAAAGAAAGAAGCGCAAAGATATAAACACCCTGGAGGACGTGGTTCGGCTACTCCATGAAAGCAAAAAGATCCTTGTGCTAACTGGTGCTGGAGTATGTATTGCAGGGAACACATTAAGTAGGGTGTCCACCCACTCTGCCGATGAAATTTCACTTCCTTATGTTATAAAATGCATTTTACCAAGACATACGATTATTCACATTCTGAATTGTTCAGTGGGGTCTTTCTCAAACATATCATTGACATTATATCCAAAGTCAGATTTCGTATCCTAATACATCTGATAATAAGCACCGAGCTCTGTTGACATAGCAATGCAGGTTTCTCGTGAGGATTTTACATTTTGTGGTCGTCGTCTTCAAAGTTGTTTCCGCGGGTCGCAAAATTAGCATGACACGAGCTGAATTAAATGTAAAAGGCTTTGAAAATGAAAAGCTTGGTATATGCTCAGTGCTCCGTTGACATTTCACAGAGATACGCTTGTTCTTGTGAGAAATCTTCGAAAAACAGGAATTTCTAATTAATATGGAAAGCGTATAGTAAAATATGAAAATACTACATGTCATGTCTCAATCGATATCTATTGTTTTATGTCCTGCGGATTCAAGAAGAGTGATGACGAGTTCAACGGGAAATTGAGCCTGTCAGGTAGCCAGTAGCCTTAATTCTTGCACAGAATCCAGCTTGCTGATGCAATGACATTTTCCAGAATGTTCCTTTTTTTTTTATTCTGGTCTCCGTTGATTTAGTCACCCTAATTCTGGCCATCATACAAGGGTAAAATCTCCTTTTCAACTGATTATGATAGACATGAGGAAAAAATGGCATATTTTACCCATTTGTCAAAAGTTTGGTAAGTTTTTGATTGGACACCCTACATTACGTTTTGCAGTGTCTCTTTGTATAGCTTTCACAGTTGCCGTATTTGGACTGATGATTTGTTATTTTTCCTCCTCAGGTGTCTGTTTCTTGTGGAATACCAGACTTTCGATCCAGAGATGGCATTTATGCAAGGCTTGCAATAGACTTCCCAGATCTTCCAGACCCTCAAGCAATGTTTGATATAGAGTATTTCAGAAGAGACCCAAGGCCCTTTTTCAAGTTTGCTAAGGTTTGTGGATTGAAAGCATATATATATATATATATATATACACACACACAGACACATTGGCCAGTTTATTAGGTACACCCATCTAATACCGGGTCAGACCCCCCTTTGCCTCCAGAACAGCTTGAATTTTTCGAGGCATGGAAACGTTGCTCAATTGGTATCAAGGGACCTAACGTGTGCCAGGAAAACATTCCCCACACCATTACACCACCAGCCTGTACCGTGGACACCAGGCAGGATGGGGCCATGGACTCATGCTGCTTACACCAAATCCTGACTGCCATCAGCATGACACAACAGAAACTGGAATTTGTTGGACCAGGTGATGTTTTTCCACTCCTCAATTGTCCAGTGTTGGTGATCGCGTGCCCACTGGAGACGCTTCTTCTTGTTTTTAGCTGATAGGAGTGAAACCCGGTGCGGTCGTCTGCTACAATAGCCCATCCGTGACAAGTACCGACGAGTTGTGCGTTCCGAGATGCCGTTCTGCACACCACTGTTGTACTGCACCGTTATTGGCCTATTTGTGGCCTGCCTGTTAGCTTGCACGGTTCTTGCCATTCTCCTTCGACCTCTCATCAACGAGCTGTTTTCACCCACAGGACTGCCACTGACTGGATGTTTGTTTGTCGCACCATTCTCGGTAAACCCTAAACCCTAGTCGCCTGTCTGCCTGCTTTATATAGCAAGCCACGGCCACGTGACTCACTGTCTGTAGGAGCGAGCCATTTGTGAGTGGGGTGGTATACCTAATAAACTGGACACTGAGTGTGTATATGTGTGTTTATTTATTTGATTAAGTGATTCATATCTATAAATTACCACATGTTTTGATATGTGAGATGGTTTTGATTGCTCTGCTCTCTTGTAGGAGATCTATCCTGGACAGTTCCAACCTTCGCCCTGTCACAAATTCATATCTATGCTGGGCAAGCAGGGGAAGCTACTACGCAACTACACCCAAAACATTGACACTCTTGAACAAGTGGCTGGAGTTCAGAGGATCATCCAGTGTCATGGTACATCCAGTAATATACACAGTGTACAAAACATTAGGAACACCTTCGTAATATTGAGTTGCACCCCCTTTTTTGCCGTCAGAACAGCCTCAATTCGTCGGGGCATGGACTCTACAAGGTGTCGAAAGCATTCCAAACGGGATGTTGGCCCAGGTTGATGACAATAATTCCAACAGTTGTTAAGTTGGCTGGATGTCCTTTGGGTGGTGGACCATTCTTGATACACACGGGAAACTGTTGAGCATGAAAAACCCAGCAGCATTGCAGTTCTTGACACACTCAAACCGGTGCGCCTGGCACCTACTACCATACCCCGTTCAAAGGCACTTGTATATATAATATTTTGTCTTGCCCATTAACCCTCTGAGTGGCACACACACAATCCGTCTCAATTTTCTCAAGGCTTAAAAGTCCTTCTTTAACCTGTCTCCTCCTCTTCATCTACACTGATTTGAAGTGGATTTAACATGTGACATCAATAAGGGATCATAACTTTCACCTGGTCAGTCTGTCATGGAAAGGTGTTCCTAATGTTTTGTACATTCAGTCAATGTCAACTTTAATCCAGTTCCAAGTGTTTGTGGTGCCATGTCTAATATTGACCACAAAGTCTTCTGTATTTCAGGGTCTTTTGCAACAGCTTCCTGTCTCATCTGTAAACACAAGGTTGACTGTGAAGCCGTAAGGGAAGACATTTTTAATCAGGTATTGGCAAGAATGGTTCCTATTAATATTCACCTGTGTCAAATCTGTGAATTGATGTATTCTCCTGGACAGACTTGTGGCATTTTAAAGTCGTTATCAGCTTATCTTGTGCAGTAGCATCCAGTCTGCTGAATTGTCATTGTCTTTTTTCATATTGTATACAAATATCTGTTCTAGGTTGTCCCTCACTGTCCACTGTGTCCAGATATTCCCCTGGCAATCATGAAGCCAGATATTGTCTTCTTCGGAGAGAATCTCCCAGAACTGTTCCACAGAGCAATGAAGCAGGATAAGGATGAAGTGGACCTCCTTATCGTCATTGGGTCCTCACTGAAAGTGCGACCCGTTGCTCTCATCCCAAGTATGTTGAAAATACAATGAGTGGTTGTTTTAGATACCCAAGATGAGCAATGCTATTACCAATGTTATCATGTTATTACCAGTTGTTATTACCAGTATTAGCCTTGATCTCGAGCCATGCATGTATAACAAGGTGACCTCTTTTTCCATCCAGCCTCCATTCCTCATGAAGTGCCTCAAGTCCTGATCAATCGGGAGCAGCTGCCTCACCTCAACTTTGACGTGGAGCTACTTGGGGACTGTGACGTCATCGTTAACGAGCTCTGCCATCGGTTGGGCGGAGACTTTGAGCAACTGTGCTACAACTCCTTAAGACTCAGTGAGATCACAGAGAAACCCCAGCGGTCACAGACACCTGCAGAACAGCCACCTTGCGAGGCCTTGTCTACTCACAGTAAGCCAACAGAAGAACAGAAGCGCCGTCACACAGACTCATCGGTCAGTGCCTCAGAGGAGACGGACACTCAGATGGTCACAGAGACTCCAGAAGGCGACAGAGTACCAACAGAACCTTGTCCGACGCCGCAGAATGTCACCGACACAGCTGAAGTCTATGGAGTACCATCGGAGCCCTGTCCAAAGGCAAAGATTGTCTCAGACACGCTTGAAGTTGGAGTACCAACAGAACCCTGTCCAAAGACTCAGAATGTCACAGGCACAAAAGGCACTCTTGAATTCGATGCAGTACCATCAGAGCCTTGTCCAAAAGCGCAGATTGTCCCAGAGACTCCAGAAGTAGAAGGAGCACAGCCAGAGCCTTGTCCAAAGGCTCAGAGTCCCAATGAGGAGAGAATGGAGAATTCAGATTCACCATCAGTGGACACGCAGAGTGAAGAAACCTCTGGGTTAAATGACCAACATGTCAACCTTGAAGTTCGCCGAAGATGCTGGATGAGTCGAATCAGTCGAAGTCCTATCAGCAAGCGCCTTGAGAGTAAAATTTCAAGTGTTCATTTACCTCAGATTTTGTGCAGAATTGTGAAATTATTTATGCACAACCTTTTGATGATAATACGTATTTTCCATGTCATGTTATGACAAAACTTGTTTCCATGTTGTAAAATGCATCCTAAATTCAATGTCTTTTCTCCCAGCTTCTCAATACCTATTCCAAGCACCAAATCACTACATCTTCCACGGGGCAGAAGTGTACTCCAACTCGGAGGACGAGACGTCCAGCTCCTGCGGAAGCGACAGCGAGGACTCCAGCCTGGAGGACGAGGACGAGGAAGACAGCGATGCTGAGGAGGACCAGAGCACACCAGCAGAGGAGGGCGAGGGCTGCCTCATTGACATAGTGACACACAATCAAGCCTGCGAGGGCACTTCGAGTGTGAAGCAGATGGACAATACAGATGAAAATGTCCAGAACACCACAGACCTTTAAAAGAACAAAGCACTAGTAGTCTTTTATATTTGTTTTGTATATTTTTGTCCCCCCACAGCACCTCTATTATACATTTTTCATAAAGTCTAGATTGGGTTGATGACACTTTTGCATGCATGTGCTGAAAATTGATTCTTCGTTCACCCTCTTCTGTCTGACAACATTAACAAGCTGCAGGTACACGTTTTGTGTACTACCATTAAATAAACAGCAGCTCAACTCAACCAATCCACTACAGAAGGTTAATGGTGAAGAAAGGAACAGCAAACTTAGACCAAAGAACAATTTCCCCCCCCTCGCAAACAGTTTTTCCATTAAAACTTTAAAGTCTTTGACTTACCCACCACTGAAGTGTAAAGAATATATTGAGCAGTGGCATTGTTTTCCTTACAATATTTGGCAGCTACTTTTTACAGTCAAACTTTTATTATTTTTGTACTTTGTAACATGTAAGAGACATACTCAGCAAAGAGTAGATGATGGTTTTCTAAATCAAATTGAAAACGTTATACAGTGTGCAAACATAAAGCCTTATAACCATGTTCATTGAGCTTTCATTGGAGCAAATAGCACTTTCTTCCTTTTCAGCAGTTTGACGCATTTGTTCATTTTTCCTCGGTTGTGTGAGCTATTTGGTGGATGTGACTGATTTGCTCCTATTCACTCTGTCCTGAGAAATGTCCAGCCCTAACACTGAGACCCTGCAGAGCTATAAAAGTGTTCTGGGATAAGTTTAACATTAGCCAAATGTAGTGTTTTAAGCACCTCATTCAAATCAAATTCAAATGTTTTTTGTTTGAGATTGATTTTGGTAGTAAAAAAAAGCTCAAATGTAGGCTTTTTCCATATTTTCTTGACGACACCACAGAAATAGTCCTATTAATCACAAGGTGTGACAACACACTGTTGTGTAGAAAATTGATATAAATATGAGAGTTGCATGCTATTTGACATTTGATGGACAAGTTTAGTTTGAGAAGACCACTACAGGTAAGTGCATGCAGTTCAGATGCTGCAGCAGCGCCAATGGAGCTTGTTTTACACAAATGGAGAGACAACATTTACATGAATGAACTAAGGTGATTACAATTACGTTTAAGAGTTCTTAGAATCAGTATGCTGGTATGTGAGAGTCAGCTTTTGTTATGCTTTGCAGTGTTTCTTTTTTACTACATCAAAACATTTATTTTTCATGTTTTCTTTAAAAACATTACAATTTATTTGCAATATTTATATTAGGTCTAATGACACCATACACCAACAAATAGGCCATAATATAGCAGATAATCTCATTTGAGGTTACACTATGTAAATATGACATTTGCCTGTATTTAATTGATAATGTATACTGTATTTACAGTATAGCTCTAGGCCTATGTTTTTATGCCTGCAAAAGTCACACAGAAAGAGTTGTGTTTTTGTCTAAAATTACTAATAAAAATACGGTGAAAATGGCAATGTGTCTGAAAATATTATTGTCAAAATAATGTAATTCTAATCTAGGGCTGCGTTCAGTACATTCTGGGACGTTCAATTGAACGGAAACGGTGCTGTACTGAACGACCAGTTGAAAAATGGGGAGAGTTGGGGAACGCTGTCAGCATGACCACTGTCCTTTGAATACGTCACTCGTTGCTACAAGCCACACCAGAGATACTTTTGAGGAGATGGAAAACTCAATTGGAATAGTATTACCGCCAATTGTGTACGTCGCCCATGCGTCGTCAATGGGCCGCCCGGTGCATTCTTGGTGATTCTGGGACAAGGAGAGCTCTCCTTCAATGAGTGAATGGGAATCAATTGGGCGCTAGCTCAAAAACCCAACATTAGCATGAAATTCGTCAAGAAGTACAACATTAAAAATATTTTCCGAGATTAACTTGTTCTCTGGAATAATGTATAGCTTTGGAATCGTGACATTACATACTTTCGAGGAAAATAGGCAGGTTTCTCGACTCATACCTTGACTGTTGCTGTGTTCAAACAACTGGGAACTGGGAACTCGGAAATCTCTGACTTCCGAGCGTTCAAAACAACTGGGAGCTCGGGGAAAAACGAGCTCTGACTGGGAAAATCGATTTGAACGGTCATCCAACGTGGAATTCTAAATCAGGAACTCGGGCCTCTTTCTAGAGCTCAGACTTTCCGGTCTGAAGATCACTGACGGCATGATTTAACAAAAAAAATTCCCCGAGTTCCCAATTGTTTTGAACGTGGCAATTTGAGAAGGGATTGTGTGACCATTAGCTTAGTAACAGCGTGACGCACCATGATAACGTGAACGCAATTGGTCGACAGTCTGCTGGGTAAGGCGTTACACGTTCCCCTATTAATTTCCCATTGGGATTGCTTTCTCCTCCTTTCTATATTTCTGGCTACACCTCGCCACACACCAAACGGCAGCAAACGTATCGCGAAGTCTGTTCAAGAACGTTTTGGGGAAACGTACAAACTGTTCCGCAACGTAGCAAAAGTTCAAAGGAACTGAATGCACCTTAGCCTGTCTTGTAGTCATTGCATGATTTTAACTACATTGCCCTGCTGCCCCAGTTCAGGCTCTGCCTAAAAGCAAATGCTGCAAAGTGTCGTAAAACATGTATTCTACTTCCCCATACAGTAGCTAGCGGACAAGGTGCAAAGGGATGGTGCTCTAACAACACTCTGTTTCTAATCGAACTTCAAATTCATGAAGATTTTCCTCAGACAACTTGCAAGGCTAAAGCATGGAGGACATGGAAGACGACTGTTTTGGTCTAAATGACGACTACAACCATAACTACTGTGAGAACAGTGCCAGTGGACAAGTCCACTATCTCAGGAACGAACTGTCAGATGTACCCCAGCCCCTATCTATCTCGCCGGGTAAGGGCACTCGAGATGAAGCGGCGCGGGAGAACCACGCAAAGGTTTGTTCCAGTTCCAGCAGCGGTTTAAAGTTCATGGATTCAGACTCGAACAGCGTGAGTAGTGACACCATAGAGACTGACAGCCCATCGTCGGCTTCCATCGCAGGGAAACTGACCCTGAACTCAGCCTCAAAGTTTCGTAAGTTGAAAGCATCAGCATTAAAAACACTAATTATGACAGCATAATGTTTATGTTTATCATGTTTTTGACTGGCATGGGATGGGGATGTAGCTTGCCATACAATTATGCCATTGCATTGCCTTTGGCCTAAACGTCAGTGGAGTAATTTGGCTACTGTCAGGGCCTGACATTCACTTTTTTAGACAGATTTTTATACTTGTCCGAAAGCTCAAGTCACTTCCTCCCAAAAAGTCTGTATCACCATGGGCCAAAAAGGTGACAAAAATGGTGTTGTATGACGCAAGGAAGCGCTTCACAAAATATTTTTTTTATTTAACCAGGTAGGCCAGTTGAGAACAAGTTCTCATTTACAACCGCGACCTGGCCAAGATAAAACAAAGCAGTGTGATTAAAAACAACAACAACAGAGTTACATATGGGGTAAACAAAAACGTACAGTCAATAACACAATAGAAAAATAGAATCTATATACAGTGTGTGCAAATGTAGTAAGTTATGGAGGTAAGGCAATAAATAGGCCATAGTGCAAAATAATTATAATTTAGCATTAACACTGGAATGATAGATGTGCAGAAGATTATGTGCAAATAGACAATGGTATTGACAATGGAAGGCTGCTTGTCTCTGATCCCATGTATTATATCTCCTGCCATTGTGGCCTTGAGTAATGCACTTAAACCCCCCACAAATGTGATCTGTCAACCCTCCAACTGGAGAGTTACTGGGTGTGCAGGATTTTTATCCACCCCTGCTCAAACACACCAGAGTCAGTTTTGTAAAGTTCCTGTTGAGCATCTGATTATTAAATTTTTTAACAATGTGGTGTGTTGGAGCAGGGCTGGAGCAAAAGCCTGCACACCCAATAGCTCTCCTGGACTCTCCAGGAGGAGGGTTGGCCACCCTGCAACATTACAATTACAACCAAATACCCCCTGCACATTGACTTGGTACCGGTACCCCTGTATATAGCCTCGTAATTGTTATTTTTTATTAAATTTTTTACTTTAGTTTATTTAGTAAGTATTTTCTTAACTCTATTTATTGAACTGCATTGTTGGTTAAGGGCTTGTAAGTAAGCATTTCACGGTAAGATCTACACCTATTGTATTTCGGCATATGTGACAAATAAAATTAGATTTGAAATACTTTGTCTTTATAAAATAATTCCTTCATTCAATGAACAGGGATAAGATGGCTAAGGTGGGCGAAGTAGCTAAGTAAGATGTTTATCTATTTGTAAGGTTAAAATGTTCAGTGTTCAGGGGAGATTTTGACAGCATAGGAGCAGTGGTGATTTTAGCATGTAAATCTTGGTGGGTCAAACCTATTTTAATGCATGCCAGCAAAGCCACTACACAACAGTGTTCCTGCTGATCCTGTTCTGTGCTAGCATGAGCACTGAGAGGGAGTTCCCCATGCGGGCCGCTGTGTCGTAGGCCCGTGACAGTAGCTCATCTGTGGCCCTGCACTGAGGTCTGGGGTAGCGGGCGTCATCCTTCAGTGCTTCATCTGGGGAGCGCATTAGCTCTGCTATGCATTCATCCACCTTAGGCCAGCCCATGTTGTTTTGCGTCGTGCATAGCGTCCTACTGTCCTTGCCGTGCTGGGCAAGAACCCGTGGGTCAGCCCAACATCTCTGAAGCTCTGTAAGAAAAGCTGGTGAAGGTGACACACTGAACGTTGTTGCTGCCGGGGCCTTCTTAAAGAATGGGTTAGCTGCAGGGGCTGTGGCTTGAGGGTCATCAGGCTCTAGCCTAGCTAAGGCCGTGTGTAGTGAGGCAGAGCTTTCTTCTGCCTCCGTGTGATCAGAGACTCAGAATGACTCCTCTGATCCATCTTTAGCGTTGAGACTGAATGGGTCCACAACACTGGTTGGCACCTCCTTCACCATGTTGGGCGTGTCATCATCCTGGTCCCTAAAGTGCCGGTTGAATACCCAAGTGGACAGCAGGTCATCGTCCCGGCTATCTGAGTCCTCTGTTGCGTCCCCCATGCTGGAGGGTGTGCTAGAGGGCCCCGACTCAGGGGGCTTGAAGGACCGCAAAAGTGTTTTTAGCTGCTCTATCTCAAAGGATAAGGAATCATCCTTCCGCGTGAGGCTCTTATCTTTTGACTTTTTTTTACCAGGAGGGCGCCATCGGTTTCGTGGACTTTCCCTCTTTTGGTGGCCCTGGGTGAGTCCTAGCGAACAACGCCGGACGCTGGTAAATTATCTGTGAAAACCAGGCCCTCAACTCTGGATAGCCATGCTTCCCTCACCTTCACAGGCAGAATGACGCAGTTTAATGCAGGGGTCAGAAAGGGCCTCACGCAGGTGGCCATTGCCTAGGCAGGCGGGGCACAGGTCATGACCATCTTCTACTTGTAGTTCAGCTCCACAAGAGGAGCAGCCATGCATGCCGAGCATCATGGTGATGCGGTGTTCTCTCAGCTCAGAATGTCAAGAAAATAAATTGATAAAATATTTCTTATGCAATACACTGCTTCATCAAATTAACTAATATAATAGTAACCGGAGACTGTATAAAACAGCTACCACAATACACAGTAAGGGTAGAGAGCTACAATAATCTGGCGGGAGCTGTACAGCAACCACTAAATAATTTAGGGTGAGCTATGACCACAGGGCTGGAGCATGAGAGATATCATGTTTAAACATAGGCTTATGTATGCGAAACACGCATGAATGGCCATTGTTTGGTAAGCCAAGCTGACAACACACAGTGTCAGCTAGGTTAAGTAGGTAAACTAACTAGCTAGCTTGTAGCATGCTAGTAATACAAGGGGAGAGGGAATACCAGGGGGAGGCAATCCGAATCACAATGTTTTATAGCTGGCTAGGCTAACAACCTTCCTAGACGTGGTTATCTAGGGAAGTGACCCGTTCGAGTTTTAAATAGTCAAAGGATCACTAGTGCCTGGCAACCTCGATAACGAGCACAGCAGTGGAGGATATCTTGACAAGGTTAGCGCCGGAGTACGATGGCCAACACACACGCTAGCTGGTGGGCTTAGTCAGCACAAGACAAGGAAGCCCGATATCCTCAGATAAAAGGGATAGGTAGGGGAGAGCTGTCACACAGCCTTGGAGGGCGAATTTCGCACTCTGACCCACAGGTCACAGGCTGTTGGTGACCGACTGACAGTACACACAATTCACACAGAGTTTAGCTTACCCTACCTGGACCTGGGAAGATGCAATCCGAAAAACGTGAGCCGCGGAGCAGTCAATTTGCGCGATACGGCTAAGCCAATTTAGAAGAAATAAGAGACAATGTGGTCTGACATACAGTTTTATATAAACCGCAAGGGCACGTCCTCCCACGCTGTCACATCACCGGCGTGACTTTGTTGTTATTATTACTTGACCTGCGCGGAGCGCGAGGGATATAATCCATACTTTCAACCGTACTGATGGTCTGAAATGTATGAAGTAGAACTCACAAGCAATTATTATCAACTAATGTGCAAACGCCGCTAGGCCTCGCTTTGATCTCAAAAACGCATCTCGCGACAGCATTATTGCAAGAACGCTCGTGCCTGTCTGCAGGCCTACAATAATTATACTCCGATACGCTCTGCAGAGATTGGGAGGAAAGTGAGCAAAACATTGCATCCGGAGGACACGTTGATCCAATTCTGATCAAATTATGATCGGAGTACCATAATTGTTTGATATTGTGATTTTTGCGTGATTATTATTATTTATTTTTTACTTGTCCATTCGGACAACTTAAATCTATAATCTGCTTGTCCAACAATGTTTTTTACTTGCCCCGGGAAGCAGACAAGCGTTAATGTCAAGCCCTGACTGTTATGACCTATGTACCCTGTGGTTGGACGGTCCTTGTTTGGAATCAGTGGTGTAGTGGTGCCTGGAGAAGTAGGTATACAAAACTGTTGCCAAAATTTCACTAACGGCTCACCCTGCGGAGGAAAAGCTCCCTGTGTGAAAAATGATATGATCAAAGGTGGCATGTACTCTGAATCACATATTGGTCTTTCAGTCAGGCCAACCCTCGATCATGACTCAGTTCCATTACATTACACATAAGAGTCATTGGACGAAGGCGTCTTCTGTAGGGGGAAGTTTTGTTAAGAGCCGCAACGTTTGGTCTGAACAGTAACATGCATCGCTTTCAGTACGGTTTTGGAAGCATAAGGACCATCTCTTTAATATCCCCAATAAATAATTTTCTAAAAACAAAAGGTTAAATTGATACACACCTTTTTATAGGGTTAGGGTTTCCACACGGTCATATTTCCATGGTACAGCACTTGTTTACAGAAGACAGAGTGGATTACCTGCGCTAATTAGCCATCTGCCTCTGAGCACGTGTGTAAACAGAAGACAGAGTGGATTACCTGCGCTAATTAGCCATCTGCCTCTGAGCACGTGTGTAAACGGAAGACAGATGCTACAAAGGTGTTTTCACTGCTGCAACTGTGTTTAAAACCGGTTAAAACAATGTACAGTAAGTGTGTATTTGGCATTTGTGAAATTGTTCTGATGTGATATTAAAGTACAGGGATTTATGTTTCTGAAACTGTACAGAAATTGATAATCGATTCAAGTTTAGATGGTGTATTTGGCTGTTTTGGTTTCCAGAGGTAATTCGCCCTTTAAACAGAACATTTTAAGGTCCTTGGACTAAGGAGTAATTTAATGTTAGGCTCCATCAAATCAAATCAAATTTTATTGGCCACATGCGCCGAATACAACAGGTGCAGACATTATAGTGAAATGCTTACTTACAGCCCTTAACCAACAGTGCATTTATTTTTAATAAAAAAGTAGAATAAAACAACAAAAAAGTGTTGAGAAAAAAAGAGCGGAAGTAAAATAAAATAACAGTAGGGAGGCTATATATACAGGGGGGTACCGGTGCAGAGTCAATGTGCGGGGGCACCGGCTAGTTGAGGTAGTTGAAGTAATATGTACATGTGGGTAGAGTTAAAGTGACTATGCATAAATAATTAACAGAGTAGCAGCAGCGTAAAAATATGGGGTGGGGGGGCAGTGCAAATAGTCCGGGTAGCCATGATTAGCTGTTCAGGAGTCTTATGGCTTGGGGGTAGAAGCTGTTGAGAAGTCTTTTGGACCTAGACTTGGCACTCCGGTACCGCTTGCCATGCGGTAGCAGAGAAAACAGTCTATGACTAGGGTGACTGGAGTCTTTGACAATTTTGAGGGCCTTCCTCTGACGCCGCCTGGTATAGAGGTCCTGGATGGCAGGAAGCTTGGCCCCAGTGATGTACTGGGCCGTACGCACTACCCTCTGTAGTGCCTTGCGGTCGCAGGCCAAGCAGTTGCCATACCAGGCGGTGATGCAACCAGTCAGGATGCTCTCGATGGTGCAGCTGTAGAATTTTTCAATATTGGCTAGGCCAACCCAATCTGTACTGTCTAAGTAGGCTAATAGTAGGCCTACTATTGAAATAGATGTCAACTGAGTCAGAAATTCACAGGTTTCAGATTTTTCCCTTTTGTATTTTTTTCAAAGGTTTTTGCTCTCAGTCACAAGTGCGCAGGCACCTAGCACTGTTGTTTGGTAGCATGTTTCTGCAGTGCGCATGAGCTGGAGTTTGCAAAACAAATTGCCAGTGGATTGATGCAAGTAATCATGATATCATTCTGGTAGGCATATGCTACATTTAGTAGCTAGTTAACATTTAATTGAGAAGGTTTTTAAGAAAGCCTTTCCATCTACCAGAAGACTGTTATAGCCTATCATTAGCATTACTATATCGTTTCACTTCATATAATGAGACATGACTTCGAGGAGAACCGAAAGTAACACTTTTTTTTCTCCCATAATTGCACAGAGATCAATAGATCTAGAGACACCATATTTTATGGAAAACAACTTATATATGTCCTCTACCATTAGCAACTGTAATTTAATTTCTAGGGTAAAGGAGTTTAAATTAAATAGACCGAGAACAGAACTACCGCAATGTTACTTTTGTACTTGCCTGCTGGGCGGGAGTAACACAGCCTTGGTACGGAAGTAACAGCTGACGAGAAGTGCAAAATATCTGTCTTATCTCCATGTTTTCTGGGTTGTAATGCTTGTTACTTTCAACAAATGTACTATCAGTTTGTGTGGATTTGAATAATTTAATGCTATAGATTGAAAATATATGAAAATGAACCATGCGTCAACATCGCAATGTTGTGCAACTACAATATTTTGCCTTACAATATTAATCGGACTATAATGGATCACATTATAGCGTTACAGCTATATTAACTATATTAACCATCATTTTTTAATGGGAATGTCATGCGCACTCCTCGTGTCTTGATAGAATAAACGTATTTATTCTCTTCACAAACAGCAAACTCATGCTTATAAAATGTTCATGGCTTGACATAAAGTAATTGACCCCCAGAATCATAAAGATATCTATTTTTAACGGCTCAAGTTGTTGTGAAAATAACCTCATCTTTATCATTGTGTGGTTCAGTAATGAATGCAATGACCGAAGAGGATTATAGAACCACATACTGGCCGAACCTGGAGAAAGCCATTGACCACCTGCTGATACAAAACCCCATGGACCACATCTCCATTTCATATGAGCAGATATACAGGTGAGACTCAGTGTGACTGTGTTGATTTCTTATGTAGCTTTGAAAGAAATTAAGTCATGGAACTGCCGTACTCATGTTTGAGACCTTAGAGGGGAGATATTGCAAATTATCTGTTTTAATAGTTATTTTCCTTTCCCTTTTTCAGTTGTGTGTACAAGTGTGTTTGTCAACAGCACTCTGAGCTACTGTACAAAGACTTGATGCTGAAGATTACTACCCATCTTCAACAAGTCTCTTCTTATCTTCAAGTAAGTGAAAACATAGAACCTGGGTTGTGTTCATTAGGGCATACTGTACCAAAAACAAATGTTTTTTATTGGACAAGTACAGATAGTATCTCCTGTTTCACCCCATAAAAGTGTGTAATAACCTGATAAATACATTTATATTAACACTGATATTTTCTCCTCTTTTATCAGATTAGTCCACCAGGGAATTTAATTGAGAATTTCAACATTGCTCTGACTCAGTATACAGATGCTCTTCAATGCATAGTTCCCGTATTCATCTACATGGTATGTATACAGATAAGGTGCTCATCCTTGGAATATGCCTTACATTAGATCTCTTTGGGCCAGTTTCCCGGATACAGATGAAGCCTACTCTGTCAATGATCAGGGCAGACCTTAATCATATACTCCTTTCATACAAGCATATTTTTCTTCTTAATTTCTAAGAATAAGTTCTACATTGAAACGAAGCTAAACCGAGACCTGCGAGAAGATCTCATGAAGCTTTTTACCGATCATGTTGCAGAAAAACATATAAACACGTTGATACGTGAGTACAGTGGACTGGTGAACTGACACCACGCCTTGCAATTCAAACCCACAACTATTTCGCTTATGACTCATCTTTTAAAATTGTTTTGTTGTTAATGATCTTTTCATTCTTTCTTTCTTTCTTTCTTTCTCTGTTTTTCCTTTAGCTCTTCTCCTCGAAGCCCATGCCATGCCTTTTCAAGTCAGACCTTCAACAATGGCCAGTGTGGTGAAAGGCCTTTATACTCTTTGGCCCGGTGAGCCCTTTCCTTTCTGTCTGTTTTAAATGCTACAACACATGCTGCTACCGAAATAGTTACATCCACTTGTAAAATTATGTTTAACCACTGTAACTGTCAAGCACAATTGTAGAAATATGGATTTGAGCAATATTTGTGGGTCTCCCACAATGACTATTGGCTACCTGTTTCAGATTGGGCACATTTAGCCCCAGCTCTCTTCTCTGGATTCATTCCTCAAATCAACCCCCCGACAGTGGAATCCCAGCTCTCTGACTATGCTGCTCGCGACCAGAAACTACAACTGGAGCTCTCTCTTAATGGCTTTCACAGGTGAGTGTTATAAGGCAGAGTTTAGCAAAAAATAAATTACCTCCCACCAGGGTTTTGTTCATTAGGAAAACGTTTTGCAACGGAAAACAAAAATGAGTGTTTCTTATTAGACAAGTTCAGATAGTACATCCCCATTTTGGACCGTTTTCTTCCGTTGTGTGCCTAATGAACACAGCCCTGGTTATTGATGAAGCTTTCTTTTGTTTTGCAGAGGTGACCAGTCTCGCAAGAGAGCCAGCGAGGAGTCTGCATAGAGTAAGGATGATGCATACATTGCTTGTTATTGACTATAAAAACGTCACTTCATTTCAAATCAAATCAATTCAAATCAAATGTTATTGGCCACATGCGCCGAATACAACAGGTGCAGACATTACAGTGAAATGCTTAATTACAGCCCTTAACCAACAGTGCATTTATTTTTAATAAAAAAAGTAAAATAAAACAACAACAAAAAAGTGTTGAGAAAAAAAAGAGCAGAAGTAAAATAAAATAATAGTAGGGAGGCTATATACAGAGGGGTACCGGTGCAGAGTCAATGTGCGGGGGCACCGGCTAGTTGAGGTAGTTGAAGTAATATGTACATGTGGGTAGAGTTAAAGTGACTATGCATAAATAATTAACAGAGTAGCAGCAGTGTAAAAAGATGGGGTGGGGGGGCAGTGCAAATAGTCCGGGTAGCCATGATTAGCTGTTCAGGAGTCTTATGGCTTGGGGGTAGAAGCTGTTGAGAAGTCTTTTGGACCTAGACTTGGCACTCCGGTACCGCTTGCCGTGCGGTAGCAGAGAGAACAGTCTATGACTAGGGTGGCTGGAGTCTTTGACAATTTTGAGGGCCTTCCTCTGACACCGCCTGGTATAGAGGTCCTGGATGGCAGGAAGCTTGGCCCCAGTGATGTACTGGGCTGTACGCACTACCCTCTGTAGTGCCTTGCGGTCGGAGGCCAAGCAGTTGCCATACCAGGCGGTGATGCAACCAGTCAGGATGCTCTCGATGGTGCAGCTGTATAATTTTTTGAGGATCTGAGGACCCATGCCGAATCTTTTCAGTCTCCTGAGGGGGAATAGGCTTTGTCGTGCCCTCTTCCAGACTGTCCTGGTGTGTTTGGACCATGATCGTTCATTGGTGATGTGGACACCAAGGAACTTGAAGCTCTCAACCTGTTCCACTACAGCCCCGTTGATGAGAATGGGGGCGTGCTCAGTCCTCTTTTTTCCCCTGTAGTCCACAATCATCTCCTTTGTCTTGGTCACGTTGAGGGAGAGGTTGTTATCCTGGCACCACACAGCCAGGTCTCTGACCTCCTCCCTATAGGCTGTCTCATCGTTGTCGGTGATCAGGCCTACCACTGTTGTGTCGTCTGCAAACTTAATGATGGTGTTGGAGTCGTGCCTGGCCATGCAGTCATGGGTGAACAGGGAGTACAGGAGGGGACTGAGCACGCACCCCTGAGGGGCCCCCGTGTTGAGGATCAGTGTGGCAGATGTGTTGTTACCTACCCTTACCACCTGGGGGCGGCCCGTCAGGAAGTCCAGGATCCAGTTGCAGAGGGAGGTGTTTAGTCCCAGGATCCTTAGCTTAGTGATGAGCTTTGAGGGCACTATGGTGTTGAATGCTGAGCTGTAGTCAATGAATAGCATTCTCACGTAGGTGTTCCTCTTGTCCAGGTGGGAAAGGGCAGTGTGGAGTGAAATAGAGATTGCATCATCTGTGGATCTGTTGGGGCGGTATGCAAATTGGAGTGGGTCTAGGGTTTCTGGGATAATGGTGTTGATGTGAGCCATGACCAGCCTTTCAAAGCACTTCATGGCTACAGACGTCAGTGCTACGGGTCGGTAGTCATTTAGGCAGGTTATCTTAGTGTCCTTGGGCACGGGGACTATGGTGGTCTGCTTGAAACATGTTGGTATTACAGACTCAGTCAGGGACATGTTGAAAATGTCAGTGAAGACACTTGCCAGTTGGTCAGCACATGCTCGGAGTACACGTCCTGGTAATCCGTCTGGCCCTGCAGCCTTGTGAATGTTGACCTGCTTAAAAGTCTTACTCACATCGGCTACGGAGAGCGTGATCACATAGTTATCCGGAACAGCTGGTGCTCTCATGCATGCTTCAGTGTTGCTTGCCTCGAAGCGAGCATAGAAGTGGTTTAGCTCGTCTGGTAGGCTTGTGTCACTGGGAAGCTCGCGGCTGTGCTTCCCTTTGTAGTCTGTAATAGTTTTCAAGCCCTGCCACATCCGACGAGCGTCAGAGCCGGTGTAGTACGATTCAATCTTAGTCCTGTATTGACTCTTTGCCTGTTTGATGGTTCGTTGGAGGGCATAGCGGGATTTCTTATAAGCGTCCGGGTTAGAGTCCCGCTCCTTGAAAGCGGCAGCGCTACCCTTTAGCTCAGTGCGGATATTTCCTGTAATCCATGGCTTCTGGTTGGGGTATGTACGTACGGTCACTGTGGGGACGACATCATCAATGCACTTATTGATGAAGCCAGTGACTGATGTGGTGTACTCCTCAATGCTATCTGAAGAATCCCGGAACATATTCCAGTCTGTGCTAGCAAAACAGTCCTGTAGCTTAGCATCTGCGTCATCTGACCACTTTTTTATTAACCGAGTCACTGGTGCTTCCTGGAATCAGGAAGATAGAGTTATGGTCAGATTTGCCAAATGGAGGGCAAGGGAGAGCTTTGTATGCGTCTCTGTGTGTGGAGGTAGAACGGATTTAAGTTTCCCTGCATTAAAGTCCCCGGCCACTAGGAGCGCTGCCTCTGGATGAGCGTTTTCCTGTTGACTTATGGCCTTATACAGCTCATTCAGTGCAATCTTAATGCCAGCATTGGTTTGTGGTGGTAAATAGACGGCTATGAAAAATATAGATGAAAACTCTCTTGGTAAATAGTGTGGTCTACAGCTTATCATAAGATACTCTACCTCAGGTGAGCAAAACCTTGAGACTTCCTTAGTATTTGATTTTGTGCACCAGCTGTTGTTTACAAATATACACAGACCGCCACCCCTTGTCTTACCGGAGTCAGCCGTTCTATCCTGCCGATGTAGCGTATAGCCCGCTAGCTGTATGTTATCCATGTCGTCGTTCAGCCACGACTCGGTGAAACATAAGATATTACAGTTTTTAATGTCCCGTTGGTAGGATAACTGTAATCTTAGGTCATCCAATTTGTTTTCCAATGATTGAAGATTTGCATCATGATTCATAATCAGGCGAATTGATTTGCATCATGATTCATAATCAGGCGTATTGAAAAATATGTACACATATGAATAACTGGTTGTTTTTTGCAGATGCTCTGACTGTCAGCGACCTGGCTCAACCCACATTTTCAAAACACTGTGAATGACTAAGATTCTTTGATGTTGAGTGGAGTGGGTGAGCATAAGCATGGGCTCATTTTTGACACTGCTTTCTTAGCCTCTTCTGAAAAGCACAGTGAATACATAATGGTGCATAATTGTTCTGTCAGCTTTTGAGGATGGATTCCTCTTCATTATTGTTAAGATACTATGAGGTTTAATGGGTTTGTTCTTATTTTTTCCATTAAAGTGTGCCTTCTGCTCTGCTTTGTTGGGATATTCAAGTTGCCTAACAGATGCCATTAACCAGGTGGATGGGCATTAATCCCAATTTGACCACATATTGTATACTGTGTCAATCATGGGTCATGTTCATTAGGGCATGCAGCAAAAAAGAAATTGACAAATATTTTACAATGGAAAACTAAAAGGATTGTTTCTGATTGGACAAATCCAGGTAGTCCCTCCCTTTTCCTGTTTTTTCCGTTTTGTTCCTAATGAACATGGCTCTGATCTCTAACCAGGACCACCCTGATCTCTTATTGGTCTGATTGATCTGATTCATTAACTATGACTGTCTGCTGCTATGCCTCATTTGTTGTTGTCTAGAACACCTGATTTCTGGTCTGTTTTAACTAATATTGTGTCCTTTTGTATCAGTCAGATCTGTCGTGATTCTCCCCAGTGATTTTAAGCTAAAGGGGCTTGTCTTGGTAATCTCGGCACACAACTAAATGTCCCGCTAGTCGACTTAACATTTAAATGTCTATCACGAAAGACTAGGGTATGGGAACATTCTCTCTTGAATTTCAGAAAGTTCTACAGTAGCACATACCCAATTAGGAATGCATTCAATTACATTTTGATATTTGGGCAACTTTAAACAAGACTTGGAGGTGCAATGGTTTATCTGGAACTTCCAGAATAAAATATGTCCGGTATAACAGGATTTCTTTCTCAATGGGTACAAACAGCAACAAAGCTTGTTCCATTACATTTTGAGTTAAGTTTAGGTTATAACTGTGAAAGGGGTTGTGTAGGTAATTTTTTAAAGGATTACATGTAGCTTTTATTGAGTTGTTGAACCAGATCATATTTGCCAAGCACGCTAAAGATGATTTACAATGTTTTTATCGCCTATTATAAAAAGTTGCATTGACTCCAGAAATGATGGCGTCAGTCTCCCCATGTTGCTGCTGTATCTGCATTAGCCTGTGCATTATACCAAGTCACTGAGCCAATTGATTACGATACAATTTTGAAAATGTTGTGAATTTGGTTACAATGATGATGTAAGTGGATCCCTGTGTTCTCTCAAGTTGCCCTGATGTTAACAGATCCAGTCACGGTGTGGTGATGATCAATTTTACCTTTGTTACACGTTTATGTCAAATGAAAGTATTTGATACAGATATTTGCACTGTTTTAAGTGTAATGTGATGCTCAGGCTTGGTTGTGATTGTTTTCCTGTGAGGATGTTGGAGATGGCTCACTCATTGTCTTATGCACAGTTTTACTTTCAATAAACAAATCTTGAAAATGATGTATATTATCACCTGTGGAATCACTGGGGTTTGGTGGCAGCGGTGGGATCTTGTGGGCGGAGGAATGATGGACTGAGGACCCCAGGCAGGGGCAGAGTTTCTCTTAAAAAGTTAACTAGTACTGTGAATAAAGGCTTTAAAC